TTCTAGACACCCCATGGAGGAAGAAGAAGAGGATATGGCCCAAACTCTGGCCAGAAATCTAAATGGCTATAACCAGACAAATTACGTCACCTAAGCACGTTGAAACACGCCGCTTTCCCCAGCTCTCATAGACAGGATCACTTCGCGGTAATGATCCCCGGCCTCGTGTAGTTGACGCTAATGACTGACTTTTACGGATAGCAGTAGCCTTCATCCGAGTAGACGACTTTCATTCGAGAGGATACATTGGCCAACGGTGAAATCCATCGATTAGGCGTCTTCAGCAGAGTTTCGTTTGTGCCGTGCCGACGCTCATTCATGGGACTTGTGTTGTGCAGAAGACGAGCACGAGGGCTTTCCCGAGGTCAGAATTTTGAATATAGGTGTTGTTTCTGTAATTTGAAGGGTTGGACGATTATGGTTTCTTACAGGCATGTTATCACGGACTCGAGAATATTAGACAACCCTAGCGAGAGGAATAACCTTCAACACAGCCACTCCGACGCCATTGTGACCATCGTTTTAATCTCTTTTATGACTTCCTCATGTTCACTGATGGGGCGACTCTGTACGAGACTAGATTGGCTTTGATGACGCATAGATTTTCCACTTCACAGCTTAATCCTCTATTTGAGATTCAGACATCCTGTAGCAGCTACAACACGCCAGATTTGATGTCTGCCAAATAGCTTGGTCTGGCTTCAACAAAGAAATACACACCCAATCACCAACTTCGACCTGATAAGCTACTACTACCGAAGAGTGCCCTTCGTCCATATCTAGCAAATCGGGTTTGCAAAAGGTAATATTGTGTAGTGTATGCCGCCTAATCGTACCTACCTCTACAACTACCCGTCGGACGCGATTTCTTTTGTAAACAAGATTAGAAATGTTCAGCCGGGTCACTCAAAGAAGTAAGACCATGAGGGAAATAGCCGGGGTGTAGAAGGTCGGACATAAGGAGCCGAGAGGTGCAGAAGAAGCGACGTTTCGGGCCATCCCCCGATGATGATCGATCGACGTATCACGCTAGAGCTATTAGCGATCCTATCATTAGGCTTACTCCCCATTAAGCACTTTTTGTATGTCTGCGCGATATGGGGTTGTTGAAAGTCGGACCGGATATCTCTCTCTTGGCGCTTGCTGCCCGAAATTGCTCATTTTTCTCTCGCAAGTTCCGAGAAAATTTCTCAACGACATGTTCTCCACGCAAGTAAGACGATCAACGGGATGTGGGTATAAAGCTTGACGTACGGTCTGGCATACATAATCCGGAATGCAACACGGGGCACATATCGGCATTCACACTATGGATCTGCTGTGCATTTAGACTCAAGTAGAATGATGGGACAACTTGTCATTGGGAGGGGTTATTGAAACTCAGTAAGCGACCTGCATTATTGGCCGATGGAGTAGCATACGGCAATGTCACCCCAAGACAGGGCATCTCCGAATCTTCTTCCCAAGCAGACTCCGCAACACACTAGATAGAATGAGGAAGTTACGGATGCCTTTGGATAGATGGAGCCATTTTGATCGCTTGTCTGCAACCCAGGGTCTGTGGTTTGACATAAGAGGCAAACCGCGGATTCTTTGCCTATGTAGCCCCTTGGACCGCTTTGGCGAATAAGCATGTTGTGTTCCAGTAGTATGGCCAAACATCTGATATTCCATTGACAAGCTGTTCGCCACTCTGCCAGTATGTTGAGTATTGTTCGCGTCGGTTCTCATACCCTTCGTTTGCTGGGCCTTGTTTTTAATGGTGCAATCTGCATACAGGGTCATGCCACACCCACTTGCCGAGTTTCCGGCTCAAGCTTGTGGGGGTATCGTATTGCTTCAACATTGAATTTTGGTATGGGGTCGTTGCGGGATTCTATACATAGAGATCATAAACCTTCATAAGTAATATGCTATGTGGCCCTTGCAGAATTCATTGAACCATGTCGTCATAAACCAATACGATGTCAAGTATCGACCGGTTGTCAGCACACATCCAAACGAGCGGCATCCCAACGACATCGGCGTTGTCTGTAATACTTGAGGACAAGTCAAGCCACTACCTGGCCGTGGCATAAGGCTCTCACTGACTTCTTACATAAATAAATGTCCTTGGTCCATCCAGAACTTGAGAAAAGCCAAGGACCGTTGATACCAAAGACTGTTATTAGATGAATTGAGTCATTACTCCATGCTCTCCCTGAGCCCTCGTCACAAAAAAAGACTTAAAGCAAGGTAATAAAGCTCTCCAATTACACTTTATTAGCCTATAATTTGCATTTGTGTGTATCCAAGAAAATGTTAAGCGGCATCTAATAAAGCACTTGCATATGGTTGATACGCTGTTGAATTTGTCGATTCGGCACGAAAGCTACAATATGGAAACAATTTTACATAACTCGCTGTTCAACGTCAAGTTTAACAGGCGTTCAGTAGCCAAAACGGATCAGAAAGAGGACCATAAGAATTTTATTATTTGAAGACATGGTAATGACGTTGGTTGGAGACCTGGCGGTGGCCAGTCTGCTCGACGATATTCATACTGTCTGATGAACTGTCTGATAATGCAGGGATTGGTGGCTTATGATTGTACGAGAGCCATTAGACACTACGCAATGCGAACTCTCTTATAACAGTTGCCTATCGTCCAACGACATTTCAAGGTCTCCTGTGCGCTCCCAGCATCTAGTCTCAATATACCCAGCAAACTTGCACCCTGTTCACATAGTTATCGCTATTTCGTAGAGTCTGCTTGCCCTTGGCATTGTCGGAAAGCAGCTCAAAACTGGTTATAATAGCTAGGCTTTGATGTCGGCCACATAACTTCTCAAAGATCCATACCAAAATGGACATTGGCACCGGTTGGATAGCCACGTTTTTCTTCTACTTGCTTATAGAGGTTCTAACGTCTTCTATAGGTTCTACCTACACGCTCTCCCAATTTTGTAGGTCCCAAACTAGCACGCATCCTCGACGCTATACCGGGAATACTATCAACTCTGGAGAGATGGCAAGCTGCTGCATAAAACTATCAAGCTACGAGACGGGCTGGTTGACTATTCCAAGTCCCTTGTAGCATTCTCCAGCAGGCGCAGAATGTGTCTTAGTTTCTCTCTTATCTTACTACTTGCTATGCTTACGACAGTTTCCTGCAGATTCCATATACCACCATATAAAACAATCTCAGTGCTACGACTCTGAGAGAACAGATACAGATCAGCTAACGATTTCCAACAATTTCAAGGCTTTAAATGAGATCAATTCACCCTGATTGGCTTTTCTGGGCGACCAGGGTAACTTTGCAATAGAGGGAAGATGGAGCCGCCCTATAGCTTGGAAGTAAGACTAGGGGCTACCACTGTTGTGCCAGGTTGAAATGATGTTTAATGCGGGTCGTTGCGCCGCAATAACAGAATACGCAATGAGATAGGCATGTTCAGCGTAGCAAAGGCGGGAAGCACCGCGGATGGCGACTCATTCCCCATTCACTTAAACATAGCCGGCATGCCCAGCAGTAAACCAGGAGAGAACTTTGCGCAAAGTGACTTTCAGCAGTGCTGCTCCGAGGAGAAGCCCAGACATTCTCATCACGAGACTATTCCCCCCGCGCAGACAGCAGAATAATATTAGCTCTTACCTCAAATGAGAGCTTGATCTGGGCGTATTGAGAGGGGCTGTCACGAGGGTTATCGGCGTTGACCGTGGAGCGATGGAGCAAAAGGATCCGGTGACAGCGGACCCCTCGGCTGAGTACTCCGATATCCGGCTTACAAGTGCGCCCTTTCGGCTCTCTCTCTTCAATCTATGGCCTTGGACAGGGGCCAAGCATAAAGCCGAACGGCGTGGAACGACATGAATGATCAAAAGTGCCGGATAGCATACGATTTGGGTCTGGGATAGGACAATACAAGCCACACCAGGGGTTTCGGAGGTGGGGAAACACCGGACGGCATGGCCTCGACGTTCACCGGAGACGGGACAAAAGCTGGGACAGCAACCGATCTAGATTGGGATAGCGCAAAGAAAGAACTTAATCGAGGTAATAATATTGCTCAAGGAAAAGTCTGACAGCTTCGTAGCAGAGTCGTCCGGCGTCTTGGCGGGCTGAGCCTCAACGTTGCGTAGGGTAGTTGATACGATCACATGGGGCCTCCTTCTCCAAGGGACTCCTCTATGTATTATGGTCAGCTGGACGAGGGACAGACAGACCCAGGATGACGCGCAGGAAAAACAGAGTTGCAGCGTCATATGAAGACATGATTACTCGGCACAGGCCACAGAGCATGTCCATGAAACCCGTGCCAAAACCATCAAATTGAATGTTTGGCCTGCAGGAGTTATGAAGGCCTAATGCAAGAGTAGTGCGGCCAGTTGACGCGTTGGAGCGACACCGAAACCCGAGACGCCATTCCCAAGGCGGCAATGAGATGCAGATTCCGCCAATCAGATTAGTTGACAGGAGGCGGCCCCGGTTTAGAGTTTTGGGGGGGGCCGCCTCTATCCCCTATTCGTCGCCCTAGAAAACAATGCGCCACCGGCACTTGTCGCGCTGGATGCTTGGCGGCGATGGGGTCGAATTGTCAGTGAAGCGGCCCATCAAGTAATCAAAATTGATGGCACCTGGGATTGATTCAAGTTGAGCCCAGTTCAAATTTGGCCTAACTTTTGAGCCAAGCACCCTTGCCATGTCCCACTTGACTTGGAACCCCTAAGGCAGCACAACCGTAGAGTATGTACTTTTGTCGTCGACAAGTGGCACGGTTACTCGGCATCATGGCCTGGATTTCACTGCCACCTAGGCCTGCTCCATGGCCTTGGGGACTGGAGCCGCATCTCGTGGCGCTGGCTAAACGATGCCATGTCTTGAGTCTGTTCTTGGATTAGACGATGTCGTTGTCATCCGCGACGCAGGAATCGGCAGGATACATATAGCTGCCGCGCAGTACGTATTGCATGTAATCCACATCGTCAACGCCTTCAAATTCCACATATTGACCACGATGGATAGCTCGCCCACTCACAAATGTGCTCTTTTCCAATCAGGAGTTTCGCTGCTGGACAATGCTGAGCTTTCTGTAAGTCAAAGCCGCCCGGTCCTTATGTCAAGCTTCCACCAACCCCGTCGTCCACTCACCACCTCACCATGCTCGGATAGCAACTTGTCGCTAAATGATTCATTATAGGAGAACCACACGTGGCATTTAGAACCAAGTCATCTCCAGCATGGGCCGTGGAGCCTACCACCGACCCATCAAACACCTCCATTTCCCAAGGCCAGGAATTCAGAATGCGCTCCTTGCCCGGACAACATGACATATCCTGCCATGTATCCCGGTTTACCCGAGTCTCTCATGGCTGATCAGTATTCCATAAAGTTACTCAACTCTCCCCGAGACAACCTGGCCGACTCGGCTTTCGTGCAAGACCTCTGCCTAGAGTCCGACCTGTCCTTTGACCCGCGAAGCCACCTTGTCGACTTGGACACCATGTTTGACGCGCGGTGGGCAGGGGCATCGGCTGGGCTTGCCAGCAGACACTCTTACACGGCGACGACGGAAGATGCTTCTCCAGAGCCGTCCAATACGAGCGAGTCGAGCGACTGGGTTCCCAAGGATGTGTATGAGATGGGCTTTCTCGACGACGATGGAAACTGGCGATGCAGCTACGCAGGTTGCAGATCAGGCAGCATATTTCATCGCGCATGCGATCTCCGAAAACACTACGTTTCCCACACCAAAGTCTTTTTCTGTGCCCGGCCTGAATGTGCCGCCCTGGGGCTAGGCTTTGCCGCCAGGAAGGATTACGAGCGACACATGCGCTCGCACCAGCCCAATATCGCGTGTCTAGATGCGTCGTGCAATCGAGTATTTAGCAGAATGGACAACATGGTAAGATGTGCATGTGTTTTGTGCCCTGTTGTACTTTCCAGCTGCTAACTCTGGGGTAGAGAAACCACTTCTTCAAGATGCACCAACGACGACAAAATACCCTGTTTCCGAAACCTTGTCGGAGGAGGACTAAACCATCTACAATTAATGAGCAAACCCGGTAGATACACCAACAACTATAATAGAATACATACATTCGCTACATGGTATGAAACGTGACTAGGATCTGGAATTGAGTGCACAACTATAGCGTGATGCAGGTTGTGTAACAAGTCGAGGGCTCGGAGACGGCAATACAACTTGCAAAACCAAAAGCCGTCACGCCATGGAGTTTGTTGACCCGCCATGAAATCATAACAGAAGATGATGCCATTGTCTCACGGGCCGCTCTCAGATAATGCAGTACCATCGGCAGACCTACATGTACATACATATGTACATACGATGATATGCCCCGCCGTACTTGACTTGGTTGGCCCTCGTGCATCTCGCATCACCATGCCCGATAGGGTAGGTGGTCGGGTGCTCGTCCATCACCGCCACGGCCATTACCTCTTTCGGCCCATGTTTGGCGAGAAGGACGGTTTTGGGGCATTGCGGCAACGAGAATTGGTCGTGCTTGGGACGCTATCCAGACCCGTCAGACGATCCTGATATCAAAGTAGTCACGGTAGCCAAACATTCGACATCTGGCGTCGCGAAACCGCCTCGGTAAAGGTCAAGGACCGAGAACTAGAGTCAACCGTAGCCAATCAGAAGTTTTCTGGGCCGCCAGACAGGAGCCGGCCATTTGTCAATCCATTGATCGTCAAGGGCGAGTTGACCGTGCGATGCGGGCCGAATCTGTTACAGATGCGGCAAATGACATCCTTGAGCAACGGTTTGGTCTGGTAGATCAATGGCTTCCACCGAGCGATAGCCGCCACCCACCTTGTCAACCAGACTTTTCCAAGCACTGTATTTATTCTGACCGCCAAGCTTCTAGAACATGTTGCCGAATACTTTTAAGCTTTTATAAGGTTATCTAAATATTGACGATTTATCCGCCTGGGGAATACCCGGTACATGGAGAAAAGCACGAGGAAGGGCCAGGCTAGTTTGTTCAATGTCTGGTTAAACTAATAAGCGAAGGCGGACCCATCAATTACTTTAGTATGCCCAGCCGGCTGGGGGAATAGAGAGCCAGCCACGGCAGGTATACTCGCAATGCGCTTCAAAAGGCGCAAGGGTATCGGCAAATGGAGCTGGACTCTGGTACGTCCATTTTTGCTTCGACAGCCAAGAAGGCGGGCGGCGGGGGAAATTCCTGCACGTGAGTCTCGCGTCATATAGTATAAAGAGCACCATGTTATATCTGCAACTCCTCTATGTTGTGGTGTTGTAGACGTCGAAGCGCCGTCACGCAAACGCATTGGCGGTTGTGCCTAACGGGTTTGTTGACATTTCCAAGCCAAGTGCTTGGTTACATATCATCGACCACATGTGCAAGTTTGTAGTCCGTAGCCCCTACTTCTCTGTCTTCTGGAAGGCTCGTATTAGGCACGCCACGTCACTCCCCATCATCAAGGCCTTGACGGAGCGACTTGCAGGGATGGAAACTACCGGATTTGCGCAATGGATCCCCTGCGCCATCTTCACCGCTACGGCAGATCAACAAGATGCGTGTGGCTCATTCAATTGAACATGGTCTGAAAACCCCTAATGCTAATTCAAGCCCCACCTTTTCCTCAATTACCAGCTGATTTATCCGGGGTTCACCGAATCACGTTTCCAGCTGATCTAAGCGAAGACGAACCTCGGGCAAATAACATATGCCCAGCAAGTCCAATGATGCCGCCGGGCACTCGGGAATACGTACTTCCCTGTAAGGGTATTGACCGTCGTAAAAGGACAATGGAGTAGTCACATGATGGCCATACCAACTTGCCAAGGATAGACAAATAGTAGAGATTACTCCGTACAGATTGCGGAGACCAAAATTCAAAACCCTGGCGAGCTCCATACTGAAGGGTCTTTTTACCCCTTCATACCGGGGACCTAGTTACTATGTTTAGAGCCATCTGCCGATGCTACTCACGAGGCGTCGCTTCCGAGCTGTTGGGTGGCCTGCAAACGTTGACTGACCGGGGAAGACGTGGAAGTATAGCATTCAAACGTGGTACTATACCCGGAGCACCTTTCCATTTTCGGCGTGACTGATGGAACAAGCGAAAGAGACTTGGGCACCTACAGTCTGCGGCAGAGTATATTTGCCTACTGACAAGTGTGCACTCATATACTGTATATCCCAACTATACACGACTAGATTACAATATAACACGTATATATTAATATACGAAAATATAATAAGCACTTAGTATACTAATATCGCGTTATATACTACCATATAGACCACGAGAGCCTGGTGCCTGATGTGTTGAAATACTTGTCGTCTTCCACTCTAGTTATGCGGTCTACTCACTGGTGCTGACAATCTTACATGATCAATGTCGGTCTGCCACGGGACATGGATGTATTGCGGTTTGACTTGGAGCCAGAAGAGGCAACTTTTCCCCTTGTGCATAAAGAAGGAAACCGAATTCCCATTACATACGAATATCAAACTTGATGGTACGCCTGCTAGCCGAAGTAAAGGCGCATGGTCACATTTGGACGCATGAAGCCGTCAAGTGCGCGTGAGCGTCGTCTGGTTTTCTCTACAACACATGTGCAGTCCGGTTGAACGTCAATTGCCTCATCTATCAAGCCATGATTTGCTGTCTGGTGCTGAGCTTACGGGGGGCCTCACTGTAGAGCAGGCCCATCCGCCGATTGCAGCCCGCTGTGGTGCAGCGCACCGTTGGCCGTTGGTCACTGGCACAGCCCGGCGCCGTTCGCTACAGGCAATCAAATTGACATCTGGACATCAATTGATTGATAGAGTCCTCCGGCGGGCGCAGTATGTAGGAACGGGGCTGCATGCAAGGCCCCCCGTCTCACGCGACACCAAAAGCTTGAGGCCGGCTGATGTTGCCATTGTCCATCTTCTTGTTGTTGGAGTTTGGTTAATACGATGAGATGCGGTCAAGAAACAGGTCACTAAGTGAATATATAATGTGGTCGTTCCCTCGCTGAAAACTAGAGAATACATCAAGTCACTTACACCATTCCAAGCATCGCCTCAAGTTGACATCACAACATCAGCCATAACATCATCATCATCACCATCATCAAAAACAAAAACAACCATGGCTGCACACGTCGAGACAAACCGACCCAGAGAGCTGAATGAGCGTCTCACGGGAGAGCTGCTGCCTGCCAGAGGCGCCTCCATCCAGCCCGCGGACGGCAAGAAGCCAGTGCCGCGCCTCTGGGATCTCGGAGACGCATTCGCCGTGTCTGCCCTCAAGTCTCCATGGTACCAGTCGCTATTCGACATTCAGAGCACCTTCTTCCACGCCTCCATCGACTTCTTCCGCAAGCCCGACCTTGACTACAGCTACCTGCTAGTGCCGCTGACCACGGGCAGCATCAGCTCGCCCATGGGCCTGGGATCCGACTCGATGCCCGTGTCCATCAAGCTGCACGGCGAGGACACGTACCTCGCCGACTCGCAGCAGTTCCTCCTCGAGTACGCCCTCCGGTACAACGACAAGGCCCAGGGCGCCTACTACGTCGGCACCAGCTGCCGCGGCGAGGACCACGACAGCACCCACCTCAACCAGTTCTGCCACGTCGAGTGCGAGCTGCGCGGCGGCCTCGGCGCCGGCATGGACGTGGCCAACCGCTACATCGTCGCCGTGACCGAGGAGCTGCTCCGCCGGCACGGCGACGCCATCAAGGCCCAGGCAGGCTCGACGCAGCACATGACGGACCTGCTGCAGCTGTTTGCCCGCAACGGAAACAAGTTCCCCACCATCACGCTGGACGAGGCCCTGCGCCTGCCCGAGATGCAGAAGGGCGAGGGCACCATGTGGGAGTACACCGTCGCCGGCCGCCCCGAGTGCGGCCGCTCGCTCAAGCGCAAGGGGGAGCAGGCCCTCGTCGCCCGCTTCGGCGGCGCCTGCTGGGTCGTCGAAATGGACCACCTCGGCGTGCCCTTTTACCAGGCCTACACCGACGCCACGGCCAAAAAGGCCCTCTGCGGCGACCTGCTGCTGGGCCTGGGCGAGGTCGTCGGCTGCGGGAACCGGCACACCACGGCTGACGAGGCCCTGGCCGCCCTGAAGCAGCACGACGTCGACCCCGCCTGCTACGCCTGGTACATTGAGATGCGCAAGTTCAAGGCCCTCAACACCACCGGCTGGGGTATCGGGTCCGAGAGGTTCTTGAGCTGGGTCTTGCAGCACGACGACGTGCGAGATGTCCAGCTTCTGCCTAGGCTCAAGGGGCTCAACTGCGCTCCGTGAGGGGGATAACTTGTGTGCGACGAAGAGTTGTATTTATCAGTTGGAGTTGTATATATTAGCTTATTGCGAGTGGCAGTTATGGGCAATCTAGCAAAAGAAGAGTAAAACTATTATTACACCAGACCACCTGCGTTGCCGTCGCCGTCTATTCTCTACCATGCTGCAGTGTATTAGTGTATACGTCTTGATTGGCAAACATGATTCTGCCACGGATTATAGATGGCGCAGCATCAAAAGCGACCTGGTCAAATATCCATTTGTTGAAGCGCAATACCTGGTGATATCCTCCTCTAAACTGTGACACGTGACTTGATTGTATATGTACTCTAGTCTATGAATATGAACAACATGTTGGCAAAATGCCGGTATTGCTGTGTTGCATGAGATAATGAGACCCATCTCGTGAGACTGAATGCGCCTGCTCATGTTGCGCCGTTTGGTCCGTTCGGTCGCGTGAGCAATTGCCGTCCCTTTGCGGTATTCCATCGTGTGAGCAATTGCCGTCTCCGTGCGCCGATCTGTCGTGGGAGCAATTGCCGCCCATGTCAATGGCAGATCATGGCAACGCTCCCCTGCAAAGGGATCGCCGCAAATGGAGCTGTTCATGGCTCGGCACTCGGGACACACATGCCACCATGGACAGGCCACAGTCTGGATGTGGTGCCGAATCGATGGGGATGGGGGCGGAGCAGCCTTGGCGTTTGACAAGGCGGCACTTGCCTTATGCGGAAACAATTTGAGATCTCTTGATAACTACATCTTTGCTGGCTACACCTCTTGGCACTCGACTTGTACTTGCCCCCTTTGGGCGTGTTTTGACTTTTAGACCACTCCATCTTTGTCTGTGCAACTGGTTAGAATGGCCACATGTCCATCGGGACCTCGCGAGTGAGAACGGACAAAGTACATTAGCCCCATGCCCGGCTAATGAGAGACTGGAGCTCATAATGCTTGTTATGCGGGTGAGCCTAGTTTGGCAAACGAGTCCTTCGCCCCGCCAAGGGACCTTTGCGGCCAAAAGTCCCCGGGGCGAAAAAACACACATGAGAACATACGACGAAGAAAAGAGAGGGGAGGCTAGTCTCTTTGCACTTCTCATCACACGATCGGGACCCTAGGGATTGATAATACGAAGGGTCTGTACGGAGTACATACGTAAGAACAAAAAAGCTGTCGACTATGGCTCCGGAGTTCATGCGAGATTGATCGCTGGCGCGCTCGTAAAAGGGGGCGCACGGCCCCACATGACGTTGCTACCCGTGTCGCAGCCCCACCCACTCGCGTCTGGTCTCGCACGACTAACCAATCGAAGTCGCGGGGGAGGAGCGGGTACTGCCGAGGCAATGGACGCGAGCACGTACTACCGGGCACGCTGCTGCCGGTGGCGTTTGGCACGTCGCAGCGACGGCAGCCGACCTTCCCGGCCCGGAAGTCTGCGCCAGCCGAGAACCGGCTTAGCGCACGGGGCTTTATGCTTGACTGGTTTGTACATACCAGACAAAAATTGTGAGTCACCTCGACGGCTCGCACGCTGGGGGCCCTGCATGGCGCAGTGTTGCATCGCAGCCATGGATGGTCTATCCCACTGACTCGCACGGCGCTGCAATTGCAGGGCTTGTTGGCAGCACCTGCTTGTGTCCGCTTATGGCCGGCGCCGGGGACGGGCCAATATGCGCGGCGGACCTGCAGCGCTATTGTACAACATTGAAACCAACAATCATTAATACAATAGTGTAAAGCTTCCGAGTATTTTCAGTACCACCACGCAACTTGGAGATCACTGCATTATAGAATAACTATTTTTCAGGTGCAAAATCGTACCCGTCCAAAAAGTAGGTGTGCTGGACAAGGTTGTGTGCCGTCAATGGTTGGTGGGGGACGGCAAACGGCCACACACACCAGAGAGAGTAGATAAATATCTCGACAAGCCAAGACGTGTGCTTCTTATTTGTCCCCCTTTCCCATTTCCTCGTCTCTTTCCCACATCTCCCCAAAATTAAACGCCATGTCCACGACAGCCCAGAAACCCCTCCCCATCATCCATCTCAATGGCTTCCCCGGGACGGGCAAGCTCACCGTCGCGAAATGTCTGCAGAAGATGCTAGGGCCTCACGGCCGCCTGGTTCACAACCACCTGCTCATCAACCCGGCCGACGCTGTGTTGCACCGCACCGAGCCGGGATACCAGGACCTGCGGCGCGCCATCCGCAGCGCCGTCTTCTCGTCTCTGGCGCAGAGCGCCGCCACCCACGCCTTTGCCTACCTCTTCACCGACTTCCAGTCCAGCGACCCCGTCGGCAGCGCCACGTGCGCTGAATACCTGGACGCGGCGCGCGCCAGAGGGTGCTCGCTCGTGTCCGTCGTCATGAGCTGTGACGAGGCCGCCAATGTCGAGAGGCTGGTGACGTCGGAGCGCCGGGCGCATGGAAAGATTGTCGACCGCGAGCTGCTCGGCAAGTTTCGCAGCGGCGTGGATATTCACCGGTTTGACGGTCCGGACCACGCCAGCCTGGAGCTGGACGTGACGCAGTTGAGTGCCGAGGAGGCGGCGCACCGGATTCTGCAGCACGTGTTCAAGACTTGTCCCGAGGTTGAACGGGCCGTGGCGGGTGGGAAGGCATCATGACGGCGTGAATAGCTGCAAGGTACTCATAATAGACATTGTTCATGTTCATTCTCTGGACGGCACTGGTGTGATGTTGGGAAAATGATCGTATTATTGTGAAACTACTAGATGTGGATGGGTTATGGTACAAGTATGGCAGCAGCGTCTGCGTCAGCCGTCAGAGTCGTCCGCGTCCCCCATGAGGTCCTCCATCTCCGTCACACTGCCTGGCTCTACAGTGTCTGGCGCTTCTTGCACAACTTGGCCGTCGGAAACGCCAATGAAGCCAAATATTATAAGAACGGACAGGGTAATCACCAGCCCGAATAGGACGATGAAACCCGTACGATATGCGTTGACCACTGATTCTAGAGTCAGCATCCACTCGCACATGCTCCCAATAGAAGATGCTGCCTACCTTGAGCCCGGAGTGGCTCCTCTAGAGTTTGCAAGTTGTCCATGTTCAAGCGGACTCTATCAATTTTCTGATTTCGCATGAGTGAACAGGCCTCCATCTTGTCATGTGCGCTTCCAGGCGACTTACCTTTTTGATCTCTTCCGAAGTCATAAATGGCCGCATGGTCTGTTGGAATACGTTTTGCACAATGGTCGTGCTGATGGACGTTGCTGTGAAGCCGCCCAGGGACCTCATCATGATGAAGCCACCATTCAGAGTAGCATGGTTGTTGCGATCGCTCATTCCGAGCAGAAGCAGCAACGCACTTGGAGCCATCATGCCGACGCCCAGAATCGGCATCGCGAGACAGAGGTTATACAGCGCACCCGGAGTCTCGGTCCTCGGAAGAATGGTTGCCATGACCATGAGCCCTGCCGCACCACACAGCAGCATTACCTGACTAAGTCGTAATGTTGGCTTGGGGGTTTCAAGCCTAGCAATCGTCGCCCCAGAAATCGCACTGACAATCGTGAAGGCGATGGAAGGCGCGACAAGGTGAGTGCTGGCTTGCCCTGGAGTCTCGAGCAACACGGCTTGGAAGAAGAATGTAACGTTATACATGACCTTGGTAAGGTTGAATGTTAGTATGTGATGAGCAGCTATTATAAACGCGGGATGCCTCTAAAGCTTTTTTTCTTAGACTTACAATGTAATTAATGATGGATAGAAAGAAGGCGTTAATCATAATGTTCCTGAAGGGAAATTGAACCAGGACCGGAGGAAGGACTGGCTTCTGGGCGTTTGCCTCGACTCGAACGAGGGCGTACACCGTACAGGGGAACAGAAACAAGGCCAGCAAAACGAAAGGGTTCGTCCAGGGGAGCACGTTCCCGGCGGTCCCCAAAACAAACACCAACAACAGGAGAGAGATGACCTAGACGGGCACATTTATATTAGCGCTGCCGGAAAGAGATGGACATTAGAAGGGTCGACGCACGAGAACAAGAGCACCGGTCCAATCGAACAAACTGAGGAGACGTCGGCCTTCTGTTGTGTCATCACGCGAACTCGTGTCCTCGGATGCCTCGATTGTCCAAGGTATGAAGAAATACACCATGACGAGAGTGACGAGGGCAAAAGGGAGCTGAATCTAGAGGCGGTGTCAGCTTCGACGACCAAGGAGACAAAAAAAACCGGCACACGGACAACGCACCTTGTACAACCAGCTCCAACCAAATCTGTCGACAATGGTACCTCCCGAAACCGACCCGAGCCTACAGACAAAAGTAAGTACAGGACATGTCAGCGTGCCAAAAGGTGACAAAAGTAAAGAGTTGGAATATATACGCTGAAGCTGATCCAAAATTGACATAATTCATCGACTGATAATAGCCTCGCTTCTTCACGCCAACAAGGTCCGTCAACACCACAGAGCCTATCTCCGTCACAAGTTAGAAATCGACAAGACTCCCATGCCTGTGTGCAAGTTTGTAGCATACCCATAATGGTCAACCCCGACGAGGCGAGTCCGCAGACGCATCTCGCCAGAATCAGGCAGGTCCAGGAGGGCGCGACGGCAGCCAGGCCGATGCCGAGCAGGAACAGCGCAGCGCACGACAGGTAGATGGTCTTGCGGCCGATGCAGTCGGACAGGCTGGCATAGAGCGGCTGGACGGTGATGGAGCAGACCAGGAAGGCGGTGACGGGCCACGTCGAGACATTGGTCCGGTTGAAGTGCGAGGCGACGGCGACGTGGGCAGACGACGACAGGCTGGCGTCGACGGCGGTCATCTGCCGGGCTGGTTAGCGACGCCGGCGGGAACGGGCGCCAAGAGGGAAGGGGACTTGCAAAGTTGGAGACGAGGATGGCTACAGAGAGGCGGATAGATCAGCAGACGTCCGGTCGACCTGGGCGCGGGTGTGGCAGAGCCATCGACGTACCAGCTATGCTGAGATAGAAGCGCGTGGTGTTTGCCTGTGGCCGACTGGCGTGTTGGGAGCGGACGGCCATGGGGGGCGGGTTGGGCGAGAAGGACCGTTGACAAGCAAATGAAGCACAGGAAATCAAGTGTAAAACAATGAATCGTCTTGATTGAGTGATACAGCAGGGCCGTGGATAAAACCCAGAGTGAACACATGCAAGGGCCATGTTCGATCAATGCTTCTACATGTAGCCAGACTGGACGCCAGACGGCCCGCCCAGCTTGTCCCGCAACCCGTCGGCCACACAGCGCAGGCTATCGAGATCCCAGCTCCTAGGTCCCAGGGCGGCCGTAAATTCTGCATCGTGCGTACATGTACCAGTTGTAAAAGGAGCAGGGCTGGGCCAGTGGTGGTCGGGGAACGACGAGGCCACCAGACCCCCGCCGCGCCCAGCCGCCGCCGGGTCCACCAGCAGGGACCAGCTCCGGGGGCCCTCCAGCTGCAAGGCCTCCCGCAGGCCGCCCTGCAGGGCCCCCCACAGCGCCCCAACCGCCCCCTGCGCCTCGGCCTCGCCCACCAGGAGCAGCCCGCGCCGGCCATTGCTCTGCTCACCATCTCCCACGCCCGCCCGCCGAATCACCATGGACGTCTCGTGGAAAATGGCCGTGTGCCTCTCCGTACATGTGCTGTCCTTGCTGTCCTCGCTCCCGTCTTCCCCTTCGGAATCGCGTCGGATGTGCACCGGGAACAAGTGGCCGCCGTCGCCGCCCGGCCAAGTCATCATGGCCACATCCGACACGGGCGACCCGACAAGCTCGACCAGAGCCTTTGCGGCGCGTCGCAGGGTGCCAAACAGGGCAAACACCTGCTCCCTGTCCGTGTATGCGAGACTGGCGCCCTTGAGCTGGAACGTCAGCTGGCCCGGCCGCGTCGGGTGCTTGGACACGCCGATGCGCAGCAAGTCGTCGTCGTAGCAGCACAGGGGGCCGATGACGGGCATGGTGCAGCGAAGCAGCCCGACGTGTCGCTCGCGTGGCGCCGCATCGCCCGCCGAGGCCGTGTTGAAGATCCTGCTGTTGCACTGGGCCGTCCGCTCGCCGTCCGACGTGATGGCAATGACGCCGCACGAGATGGACGGACAGAGCCGCGTCGCCTCCCAGACGGCCTGCTCGACGGCCCGGCCGATGCCAGCGCCGCCCCGGTACAAGTTGGCGATGCGGCCGGCCAGCATGCTCGTCATGATGGCCTCGCCTCCGCCGCTGCTGTAGAAATTAAAGAATCCGTTAGCGAGACGCGCCGAGGCCACGGGTCGCGTCTGGTTAAGGTCACACAACGTACCATGCCACGGCTACCCGCTCGTCCGCGTACAGCCCGGAGCCCAGGATGGCCGTGTCGCCCACCCTCCCGACGGGCTTCATGGTCATGCCGCCGGTGGAATTGGCCGCGGCGACGTTGCCGCGCGCATCCAGCACCACGGCGCCGACGGTGCCGTGCTCAGACACGTCGGGCCGCTTCTGGCGCCAGTAGCTCAGCCGTCGCTCCGTGCCAAAGTAGCCGTTGTCCACCGTTTCCAGCCCCAGCCGACGCGCGAGCTGGTCGCCGCCGACGCCCGCCATCAACACGGGCGCCGTCGGGCCTCGCCGGTCGAGCATCGCCCGCGCCAGCCTGACCGGGTTCTTGGTCGTCCGCAGGCAGACCGCCGCGCGGTACGCAGAGTCTGCGCCGTTGACGATGCCCGCCTCGAGCTAGTGACGGTCAAGACTCCATGTTAGCTGATAGATGGACGTGCGTGATGCCGTTGGTGCAAAGGGGATTCGGCGCACCTCGAAGCCGCCGTCGATGTTCACGGCGGACCCTTTACCCGCGTTGAACTCGGGGAAGTCCTCCAGTTCGGCCACCACTTCAGCCGCCACGTCGACGGCGGTGGCGCCCTGCCGGAGAGACGCTTCGGCCTTGCTGACCAAGGTGTCGAGGAAGGCGTTGGTGGCTTCGAAGCTCGCGGCGTCGCCTACCCACGACTCCGAGGCGCCTCCGTGGAGGACGATTCCTACGGGACCCATGGAATCTCGTGCTTTGGGCGAGGGACAAGGGTGCGCAAAATGGTGTAAAGGGGTCAATCGTGGAAACGTGTAATCTCGAGGACGGACAGACGCTGTCCACCGCGGGCTGCTCTCAACTAAATACCCGACGGCCTGGCAGAGGATGCTTCAATGCGACTTGCCCCGGCCAGCCTGCAAGGCCACCAGCTGCAAAGGAAGTCGACATGGACGTCTGTGATCCTGGTGACTAGCCTCAACGGAGGACTCCAATTATATGTACCCACCAGACTTGAACTGGACCTCGCTGAGCATCCAGGTGGGTGTGAATCTGTGTCCATTGCCCGGCGCCACCATAAAGCATCATGACTCAATTCATTTACCAACAGTCTTTGGTATCAAAGGTCCTTTTCCTCGTGGCCTGGCCGACCAAAGAGACATGATTGGGAACATTCAACAATACCAATAGGCCAAGAAACACGCAAATATAGACAAGGCTTGGTGACTCGGAAGCATCAATTGATGATTTACAATCCTCACACATCCCAGTGCGCCGTCTTAAAATGGTCAAGTACCACTAGATACCAATGCATCCAAAAAGACGTTACTTTTCCCCGTGGCACCAACGCCGCCAGAATTCTCGCCACGATGCATGCACCACTTTCTTTTGCGTACCTGAAGGTTCAAGCGAGGCCGTAGAATTCTAATCTTTGGAAGACGGTAGTTTCTACTAGACTACCTCGGTGTATCTTCATATATCTGCCACCACCACTGCGCCAGGTCTCTCCCTGCTCCTGCTTCTGCAGTTCACAGACGCCGTCATTGGATCATCTGGTGTACACCCAAACCCAGACGCTTGCTCAAAGGCAATGGTCAGGACTGCCTTCTGGATTCCCCCACCAAGTAGGAAACGGATGCCCCTGACCGCTCGCGCCAAAGACGGCAAACGACAAGACAAAGATGACAATCTGCGATCCGCCGTCCAATGCCGCGCCGATGAGATAGTTGTACTTGTTGTATATCCCCGGCAGCCTTCTGCGAAGCCACAGTTGCGACAAGACGCCAACGGCAATGGACGACCAAATCCAGGACGTGTTGCCGTAATACACCTGTCCGGCATACGACGACACAATCGCCGTGTTGATCGGCCACGCCCGAATCCGCGGCCACGCCCTGCCCAAGGCCCAATGCAGAACCGGCAGCGCCGCCCCGATAAGCAGGCCCAGGGGGACGAGCACGTAGCGGCCGCCGGCGCCGTACATTTGCCCGGCGAGCGCCCACGTAATGGCCTGCGAGTTGAGGCTCTGGTACGTCGACCCGCTCCAGATATTCGTCCCCGCGGGGTCGAGGAGAACACGGCGCTGGTTGGAGACGATTGTCGTCATGACGGCATAGTTGAATCCCGCGCCGAGCAGCGTGCCGTAGACCTGGGTGCCGAACATGACGCGGTGCGGGATCTTGGTGTACTGCCCGACCTTGAGCCAGTTGGCCAGGTTGACGGCCAGCAGAATCACCTGGTGCGACCAGCTCGCAAAGTAGAGGTTGGCCAGCGGCCGGCCCGGGTGCACGGCGCCGGCGACCATTTTGGAAAGCTGGTTGGTGCCGATGCCAGTGCCGTAGAGGCCGTAGAGGAAGCAGGAAAAGGGGGCGATGCATGCGCCCACGAGGAGCGCGACCACGTATCCCCATGCCGGCAGCGTGGTTTCTCCCTTGATGTTGACCACCAGCCCGGCAACAAAACAGAGCACGAAAAGCGCCGCGTACCACCACATGGGGACCTCGTTGTACTTGAGCATGGCTCGGTAGTGCGGATCCGGTTGGGCCCTGGTGCGTGCCTGCTTCCACGCGAGAGCCATGTCCTTGCCGTAGAAGATCAAGACGTGGGTGATGAGGGCGCCAATGGCCAAGTTTGCCGTCAAGTAGCCCCAGACCGTGGTGGCAGTCATGTAGGGAAGGCCCACGGCGTCAAGCCTGTCCTGATCAATGGTCCCCTCCCCGTTGAGGATGGAAGTCGTGTTGAATCTCGTGCCGTTGCCGTTGAAAAGCGACGTCGACATGAACGGGAAGCGTTTGGCGCCCCAGGCATCGTTGTAATAGAGCCCCAGCATCGCCACGTACCATATCCCGTAGCCAATCCACGAATTCAACTGCTGCTTCAGCGGCAGGGACAAGAACCCGCTCTGGATGTACTGCCAGTCGAGGGAAAAGTTGAGCAAGCCAAGCCCCTTGTTGGGAGACGCGCCGCCAAAGACGGTGGTGAAGACGCGGCGCGTTGCGGCGGGCGCACCCATCGACGCCAGGCAGAAGACGGAGATGCCGCCAAACCACGGCACCACGTAGCCGGGAAACACTTGCCACGCGGCGGCCATGGCCAGCGCCCAGCCAAACTTGGCCAGGCGGGCGCGGTTCTCGCGCTGGTCAAAGTGGAGGTTTTGGTAGAGCACGACCTGCGGCAGCGTCGACCAGTACACCATCTCGGCGGGATAGACGATGAGCGGCCGCAGCACGCCGGCCAGGACGAAGCCGCACAGCGAGATGGAAAAGGTGCCCAGGACGGCCGTCGTCGCGGACACGGCCCGGTCGTAGAATAGTCTTTCCACGGCGTATATCTCGACGCCGGAGAGGCCGTTGTTCCCGGAGGACGCAATCAGGGACGCCACGACGTGTTCCTTGATGCCGAATGGCTGGCCGGAGTTGAGGAATCCAAGGACACGGCGGAGCCATGGCCATTTCACTCTGTCCGGGGGCGGTGTTGCCAGCGCCCACGCCTGGCCGGCAATGTAGACCAGAACTGGCGAGTGTTGCCGTCTTTTAGCGACACGAGCAGACATGGAATAAATGCCGAGTGGACAGACTTACGCTGTATAAAGACGGCCGACACCTGCATCTGCGTCGGCTTGAATGTGTATAGCATGGTGATGACGCTGGACAGCGCTGTGAAGGCCGTGCCCAGGACCATGGACCGAAAGGTGAGCGCTGCATCGCCATCGTCGCGATCTGAGACGAGAAACCGCGACACGTCGGCTCCTACAGGGGATTGTGTTAGAAAGCCCCGACAGGTGTGTATGACAATGAACAATCTATGCTTACCGTTGCGAATGACCGGATGCCCGTTGACATAGAGGGTGTCGCCATTTTCTGGTGAGTCGGTGACCCCCGTGTGCCCGTCCTCTGAAGACGTCTGGACCACGTTGGGGCTTTTGTCTGCCCGCGGCTTAGACATGGCAGAGTATCCGGAATAGCTGCGCACGTCTGCCGGGTTGCGTGGCCGAAGGAGCCGAGGAACTGGGAGCCCAGAGATTCTTATCGGTCAGTGCTGCCACCTGGCAATGGTTCGTTGTATCGTCAATTACAAATGCTGTGTTTGCCGTGCCTTTATACTTTGCAACCGGCTGAGCCCCGGGTGACAACTCAGCCGGGGCATCGTGATGAGGGCATATCCTCGCAGAGGGGACGCCTTCGGTGGCATGGCCGTCGCACAAATTTTCCATCGTGCTGGTGCAACATACCGGTTGATTGTTGCACCAATGAGGGCGTTTTCGGGTGTCGCCATTGCGTCGAGCGGTGAAAGAGCAAGCTTGACCGAGTGTCGTTTCGTGCGTTCGTGGTTCAAGACGTCGACGGTTGGACATGGACGCAATCGCGTGATATGCACCCAGAATGCCGAATCTGCGTTCCAATGTTCAAAGGCTTGGGGACTTTTGTTCGACTCCACAACCGGCGCATCATATTCTTCAATTGACATTTGATTCTTCAACAGATGGGCAAGCCTGCATCTCGTCTAGTGCGCCAGAGCTACAATACAACGCGAGACAGTCTACACATTGTCCAAGGGCGGAAGAAGAAATTATTCTCCTCGACGGTTTTTATGCTCTAGGGTATGCCGCGTTTACATCACCCCGGCCAACAACGAACCCGGCCGGCATCATGCAGCGTTCAAACTTCAAACGCTCTCTTTGGATAACGCCATCTGCCCATTATTCGGAAACAACAAAAATGGCCCCTGGTACTCTGTATTTTGCCCATCAACACAATTTACTCGCTGCTCACAGACATGCATTTGTACAACTACACCCCGGACATTCATGCAACTTGTATTTACATATCTCCCTTTCCGCATCTCCCATCAGAATCGCGCCCGTTTGCGCATCAAGCGTCACCTATTCGAGACGAGACGACAACGCACCATGACGCCATTCACCCACAAACTCTGCATATACGGACCTGCTACAACAGAACCAAAGAACCCTACTTCATATTCTGAAGGAGATACTTGACTCCGGCAAACGCCTCCTCGCCACTAGGGACAATTTGATCCGGCGGCAGCACGAATCCATACCTGCCCGTGTCCCGCAACTCGGCAGCAAACGAGTAGTCGCCCTTGACAACGTCGGCCACGAAGTCGATACTGCTCCCGCTGGCCTGGTAAATCGTCTGGCAAATCGGGCCAGAGTTGAACCTGACCTGGTGCACGGCGAAGATGGCGTCGACGGTTCCCCTGGCCAGCGATTGGATCTCGGCGTCATTGGGTGCCTTGGCGTCGCAAGAGTACCCGTATGCTATTGACCAAAGAACGAGAATTAGCCGCACATGGCAATAAACTTTTTTTAGGAGGGGAGGATTATATCGCGCCGCCTTACGTGTCAGGAAGAGCTGCGAGTACGAGTGCCAGTCAATGTACAGCTTGAGTCCCTGAGCTTTCTTGACGTCCTGGATGAACTGAGAAAGAGCCTTGGTCTCGGGCGCGTCGCCTTCGCTCTCTCCTTTGAAATCCTCGGCGCAGGGGTTGGTGGAAGCGCCCTGGCCGTCCCATTTGTACGGCCAGTTGCGGTTGATGTCGTGCCCGAGGCAATTGCTTCCCTTTGTCGTCTGGCGGTTCTTGCGCCACATGCGGTTGGTTGTTTGGGTATATTTGAAACCTAAAGCCGTAAGCCAGTGTTCGAGACTGTGTGTGAGTCAAGTGCTTCTTGCTTACCATCGACGTTTACAATGGGGAACATGTAAAAGTCGTACTTGTCCACAAACGCGGTAATGTCCTTGTCGGAGCCGTACTTGGTGATGAGCTCGTTGGCCATGTACTCGACAACCTGGCCGTCTGTTAGCAAGCCCTCGTTGGGAGTTGACAACACCCGGAAGCTCTCACCATGGAAGCAATCCACTCTCGCGCATGCACAGTCCCGTGAAAGACGACGGCAGGCTTCTTCCCGCCGCCTGAGCTTCCAAAGATGTGCAAACCAGTGATTGGGTTTCCCTCGAGCGTCTTTCCAGAGGTTACCGTCTTGGCGTTTTTGGAAAACTTGGCGCCGAGGTCGTTCAACCACTGCACGTGGTCGGTGTAGTCGTGATACGAGGTGAACCACGTATCGTTGGCGGATCCCGCTAGATGCGATGGGCAAAACGGTGTTAACTACGCAAAACATCTTCTCTCTCGGGCACTCCAAGGGCATGACTCGTCTCCCCTCCCCCCGACTCTCCCCTCAACTCGCACCCTTGGCGGCATTCGACAACGTACCAGCGTAGGTCATGAATGTCCCTTCTCGTTTGATGGACTTTCCGAGATCATCATGCATTGTAGTCAGGTCCTGGCCATCCATGGCCTTGTGAAATTCCTCCAGCTGCCTCGGCGCGACTTGGATATCGGCAAAGGCGCCCTTTCGCGAAGGGGGCTGCCAGGTAGTGAGTTGAAGCTTGTCAATGACACTCTGGACGTGGGAGCCGTCGTCGGCAATGCGCACACGGAAGACTCTGTGGCCATCATAGGAGAGTTCCGAGTCAATAGCCACGGCCGCGGCTGGCGCCAGCAACGAGGACAACACGGCAAGAGCCTTCATGACGCCGATTCTGACTTTTTTCCTTCGCAGTAGGAGTTCCAAGGCATAAGCAAACTTTATAGGGGTATGAGACGAGAACAATTTGAGGAGTTATGCGCGTCACCCATCAGGACGCAAGGGCAGGCATAGCCGGACATTTTATGTCAGAAAGGGATCTCCTTGTGACGGGTAGTCCAGTAGCACGGGACCAGGATCAGTGGTCAATTTGGATCTGCGATCAGCCTTGGGACATGGGAGCAAGTGTGTGCTTTTGCGGTAAGAATCGTCTTGCGAAACGCAAGCTACTTCCGTGTTGAGCAGGTCGGCAAACCAAACATTCAAGGCAACCTTCTACTTTGGGTAAACTGATTGACGCTCGGCTTCCCAGGCTTCGGCACTAAATATAGGATCACCGGATCACCAGATCACCATATGTCCATCCCCATTGCGCAGTGTCGAGCACGTCTCGTGGGTGGCAAGAACAAGTATAAGCATTGTAATAGGCCTTGTCGCGACTACAACACATGTGTGCCGAGAGCTTCTGCCCAGCCTTTTTTTGCTCGAGGTGTATGAAAGTCATCGATTTCTTCTACGAGGTAGAGAAAATGAAAGACGCGACGCTAGTTGCCACTGGGCGATGAAACTGCCGATCGATGCATGGTTGACCTGCCTAATCCAACATGGACAAGTTACAGATTGGCATCAGTCATTCGCAGCCCAAACTGCGGGGATGGTCCCAAAACAAAAGTGCAATCAGTATAACCATGTATGCTTCTGTCCTACGCTGCGAGCCATTTCAATTGGCCGCTGCGTCTGAGGGTGCCGCCGTGCATAACCTCAGCTGTTAGTCTGTGACAGTCATGGTAACGCCGGAAGTGTGCCCTGTTCCCAAACACCATGGTTGCTTCAAGGACGGACTGTTTTGTATGAGAAAACAGTGGGTAGCTAGGGGCGAAAAGGGACTTCTGGACCCAAGGCAAACGCTCCTCCCAGGTAAAACGTTCAACTAGTAGGTGTTGTATTTGGTTCCGAGAGTCCGACATTATGCTACCATGTGGTGATGCTCTCGCGGCTCTATCGATTATCAATTACTGCTCCACGTCCCTCTCTGTAGAGTCATAGGATCTTGTGCCTTGTGGTTCCAGTCTCTGTACCCGGCCATGACTTCTTGCAGGCTTCTGCCAGAATTCAATTCTTCTAAACACGTCTTTGCCCTGTCGACGCTAGCAAACAAGAAGGCTGTGTCGAGGGACACTTTGTCGAGCTGGCCAGCAATGCCCCTCTTGTCTTCCTCATCAGAAATTGCCCGAGTCAAGCGCTGCATGACCTGCCACCCAGCCAGCACCTGGTCCCGTACCGTTTTGCCCTCCGTCTCATCCAAAGATTGCAACTCCCGTTGACCCTGCGCAATGCGAGCGCGTCGCACAAACTTCTGCGGGCTGCGTCGGCGCTGCGCCTGCTTCAAAAGTCCTTGCATGCTATATCCAATGGGCCCGACGACGGCTGATATCGGCTTCAAGACCAATCCACTGATCCCCATTCCTGTTCCTTTCAGAAAGCCAATGACACCCTCGTTCTTTGCTCCCTGAATTGGAAGGCGAACAACGCCAGTGACACCGTCATATAAGCCATACACAAACTCCCTCCGCGATGCCACCAGGCCGGAGCGGATGCCGGTGACCCGCGTGGGCCGACGAACCGTGTCGTCGCCGTATAATCTGGGCGCATTGTGGAAGCCTTGCGCGAGAGCGACGACGAGGTGAGTTGGAGCTCTGGCAATAGCCAACACCGTCTGACCGACACTCTTCGATATGTCGACGGCATACTGGTCCAGCCCTGGCACCGGCGTAAGTGACTTCTTGCGACCTTTCTGGCTCTCATTCGTTGTCGGCGTCGTTTCTGGAGCCTTCTCATCGACCTGATCCCCGGAGGCCTCGTCGCCAGTCTTGCTTCCCTTATCCTGCATCGTCCTCATGCGGTGCCTCACTCGCCGGTTTGCAGTTCTCCCAAGCCGAACTGGAGCACTTCCAATGCCGCCAAATATGTCTCGCAAAGAATTTTTCAGTGACTCGGCGACGGCTGTCACGGGCTCACCTGGACCTTCAAAGTCATTCCATTCCGTATGCCGTACGAGTCGTAAGTTTTTCCATTTCAGCAGTCCGCTCTTGACAAGTATTTGGGCTGCCAAAACGCCCAGTCTGATATGGGTGCCCTTGACCTTCCAGACAGCAGCCCGTGCTTGAAGTATGCAGCAACCAAGACTTGGAGGACCGTAGAGTCTCAAGTGTTTCGCAAAGGAAGCGACTGTATTTATTGCGCCGTCTCCTTCTTTATTAATTGACTCGGCAATCTTGACTGCGGCAGACTTGGCTTCATCAGTAAGTAAGTACCGGATGCCCTCGGCTAGCTTGTCAGACGTCAAATGCTTATATGGCACGGGTTCAGGACCAGCGCCAGACTTGCCCACCATACTCCCCCAAAAGTACTGGTCGCCAAAGAAGGGCACAATCATGGTAGGGAGGCCGCATTTCAGACCAATCGCGGTTGTACCTGCGCCGCCGTGGTGAACACAGCCCCTGACCTTTGGAAACAGCCAGTCGTGGGGCGTGTTGTCAAGCATGAAGATGTTGTCGGGGACGCTATCTCGGCCAAACCCGCCCCATCCTCTTGACACGAGGGCTCTGACACCGGCAGCTTCTATTGCATCAAAGATCATGTCTGTAAACCGCTCTGCGTCGTCCACAACAATGGAGCCAAAACCAATGTATATAGGAGGCTCTCCTGCTTCGAGAAAGTCCACCAAGTCTTTTGGAGGTTTAAATGCAGAAGCGAGGTCAAGGAAAACGAATCCTGATACGTCAATTTCTTCGCCCCAATCCTCTGGTTTTGGCACCAAACCCGGTGACCATAGGTACGTGAACGGTACGTGCATGCGGTACGTCGCGCATGGCGCCCACAGGGTCGATACGGGATCTAAAGCGAGAGTATTGACACGAAAGTCGTTGACTAGGTCTCCTAGACCTTGCCAAGTCATAATCTCGACAAGCGGGTAGGAGATGAAATTTGTGTACCCCTGATCGACATTGGATTTTTTGATGCTGGCGAGGGGATGCGGAAAAGCCTGGGTTGGTGTATACGGAAAGGTAAAGACCAAGTGAAGGGGAAGACCCAGGGCCTCGGCGCAGTGAATGTGCGCAAAGCTAGGCGGATTAGCAATAATAGCATCGGCAATAAAGACATCTCTCTCGTCCATCGTCTTGGATGTAAGATCGGTTGTCTCATCTTCAGTGGCGTGGATACAGGCCCTCCAGAATCCATCAAACATTTCCGCCATGGCTGCGCGTCGCCTTCCAATCTCCCCAGCCTTTACGGTCTCGAGGGTCGGAATCATGCCCGGATTCTTTACCATGAACGCCATGAGCTCAGAAGGGTCACCGCCAACAGAGAAGAATTCCAGGCCCGTATCCTTTTCGACAAGATCTCGGAAGACGGGATGAGTGGCGATGCGGACGCGATGTCCAAACTCTTCCTTGATGTACTTGCCAATTCGGAGGAATGGCTGAACATCGCCACGAGACCCGACGACCATGACGACAATATTCAGGCGCGGTTGTATTACAGGAGGCGGGGGGATGGCCTTTGGCGACGTGCCAGTCTTGTTCCTGTTGGGCCGCATGCTGTGAGCAACGGCTCCAAGAGCATTCGCCAAGTAACCAGTGTGTGCCGTCTCGTGAACCGTAATGCATAATCGACCGTCCCTCCTTGCCCGTCCCGTGCTTTTACAGTGCTCATTCATCATCAGGATCCTCCTCATCAAGGTCTTCTTTGGTGCTCTCGCACCTGCGCCTATGCTCCCCCCACCTTCCGCATCGGCAGGAGGTTTTGTCGGTGCATGGTCGGTCGCGTCATCGTCGAGGAAGTCATCATCAGATGAGGAGTCGGATTCGTCTCCATGCGCGGAAAATTGTCCCATCAAAGGTATCCATGCTCGGCTCGGAATCGATTCAGCCCTCTCCCTCGTATCCCCGTACGTGGTCGTCTGCCACCTCTCGAGTGCTGAAGGTCTACGAGCCGAAGATCCATGGCCAGTCGGCAATGGCGCAGACTTCTTCCTCAATTGATTGTCCGTCACAGGTCGCGAGGGTATGTCGAGTTTGCCCGGAAAGCTCTGTGCTGGTGGTGGTGGTGGTACCGCCGTAGCATTGTTTCGAGACTGAGGGTCGTCGCTCGATGCAAGTTTCGCGGCTGGTTCATCGGGGAGTTGAAGACGAGGAGTCGGAACGTCATTGTGCGTTGTATCGATCGACTTTGGGTCCATGCTTTCCATTGTGCGCAGGCAGCGCCCGCAAAAACGGCCAGGCGCGGAAAACAAGGCAGATGGATTGGATATTGAGCCTGGTCAGGGCACCTGGGTTGATTTAAATTGGGTGAATGATGGAGCCCAGCGTCACATGGTATGCCGAAACCCAGTTTTGAGTCGAAGTGGCCGGTGGAGCCGACTGATTTGAAGTCGTCATGGATAAAGCGTCGAAGCCATTGTGAATGTCCAAATGCTCAAATGTCGTGCCATGTCTGAATATTTCCAAGTTCCCAAGTTACTAGCCAAGAGAGATGGAGCACTGCACAACAGCTTGCGTGCTTCAATGCTTCCATGTCTCCAAAGGCTTGGGTATGGTGGAGCTTGTCCGCCTCGTCGCTCAAATGTCGGGTTCGATGGTGCTGATTAGTAATCATTCCGCGCAAAATGCTGCTACCCTATCATGCTGGGCCGTCTCACTGCCGGAGAAGGACGACGATACACAAGAAAGCAGCACTCGAGGGATTCCATTCTTTGCCAGCTGTTCTGTAGCAAGGACCACGGGGCTTTAAATCGGTTACCGTACTCGCCAGGAGCTGTCCCGACCATCATGGTAGCTACATGTACCATCTTCTTTGTCTTTCTGCTAAGACATATTTTGACTCCCCAAGTCTACGCCTGCAATGTTCGCACTCAGTGAGCCCTCCATGCTCGGATTATTTGTGACTTTTCTTCCGTATCAATCCTGTGGTGCGTGCTTTTTGGCTTGATGGTGTAAATCAACGGTCCAACATTATTGCTCGTCTTGGGCTGCAACTCAAATACGATCTCAGCTTTCTTGATGCGCGCGGACGACTTATGGCAGACAAACGCAAAATCGTACACGAGGAGGGTTGCGAGTGTGCCTGGGACTTCGTCCATCGTTCCGTGCATTATGGCTTTTGCTTATCCTTGAAATGCTTAGGTTACGACAGGTCAGGTTTGACCTCGCGCCGAGGCCGTTGACAGGGGCTCGGAACAAAGGTCTGGGAACAAAGAGCTTGTAACGAAGAGTTCAATTCAAACAAAGAACTCTCTTTGTTATCAAAGAACCTTGGTCTGCTCAAGGACCTCTCAGGACAGGAGGACTTGTTTATACAAAGAAACGGCGAGGCTCGGGTCCCCAGGCCACGGGCGCCCAAGGCTTCCATCATGGCCCTGTGACTACGTAAATCAAATGCTGTGCAACCTCCGTGTGTTTAGCCCAAGCGTGTGACTGGTTGGGCGTGGACAAATGGTTCTTTCCTGTACATTCAAGTACAACGGCCACACAGCCTTGCTGATGAGGGCACACCGAAGCAGGTCCGTGAGCCAAGAAAAGACTTGTTGCGTTATCTGGATTTGCCGAGGCTCATATATCCTGACTACGCCATCTTTGCTTACCACATATCAGTCACCAATCCATTGACACCTTGTATTGTGTGCCCTCCAACTGAGGAAACCTGCGAACGCGATGGACACTGCCTTTTCGGGCGAAGCCTCTGAACATTCCCCAACAAGATCAGACTCAGGCAACCACATCCAGGCGGGTTGTTGGTATGATGGGCTCAAAGTGATTTCCATCCTAGGCCGACGTGGCATGAACCCTGATGATGGAACCCCAGATATTGAGTAATGACCATTGGTAGACGTCTAGCAGCACTTTAAAACTAATAATTTCCTAGCATCGTTCACGTCACTGGATTGCGTCGCGAGTCCGATCGGCTAAGCATCGACTCAATTCTAAAGAGTAGTATTACTACACTGCGCAGAGAGATTATTTTTCCATGTGACATCGCCCAGTTGCTTATTGGAGATTTTACACGGGATGTAGTGCATACCACGGCTCTTCGTCTGCTCAACAGTCTAGCATGTCTCGCAGACAAGGACGCATCGGTTAGTGAGCATGAATGGCATTTTGAAAAAGGCGAAGCTTGACTCACCTTCTCTGCTCCTACAGAAGAGAAACCAAAAGTCGAAGCATGCTATCATCTTTGTGGCCTATGACCTTGGGGCTTTGATCCTCAAAACGGTAACGTCTCTCCATTAGAAATCATGATGGCAAGTCCCGAGTTAAACAATCCCACCAGGCTCTTTCGGTAGCGGAGAAGGAGAGATACAACTGGCCGGATACTTTTACAAGCTCAGCGAGAGTGGTATGCTGGTCCGAAAATTGAACGAAGAAACAATTAGTTAATGGATGTTTGCACAGATATTTTGTGGCGCTCCACAGCGCAGTGATAGTCTCTTTATCATGGAATCCAAGTTATATGAGTTTCTCCATGACGACAAAAATGCGCCCTGGCTGCACTTGCTCACGCCATCATCCATTCGAGGGCTCGCACAGGCCGCACTCGAGTCAACGGATGAGTTTCTCAGCTCAAAGTTTACCTTGCGGGGGCGCATCGTGAGCTTGTACGCAAATTCTCGGACTCCCCGCAAGATACATCCTGTAGGCGGCAGGTAATTTGTGCGTAACCGTCAAACAGAGATGACTAACGATATCTTTAAAGGCATTCGACGAGGCGGCTGCGACTTTGGGCGTGCCGCTCGAAGAGTCACTGGGCGAGATGGATTGGGACAATGCGGACGCTTCCTCTCTTCTAGCTACCAAGGTATGCCACTTGGTTGAACGTAAGTGCAACCCCTGCTTATAATTTCTCATTTCATGATCATTTACCTTTCCCTGAAGAGTGGGTGCCCGACCCGGATCAGGTTGCCGCCGAGCAAACGCTCCTTTCTTTAGCCGTCCCTGATAGTCCATTTGGTAGTACCAAGCCGTTGGAGTCTCACCCGATCCTACAGGACACAGAGCATCAGAAATGGATCGAGGGACGAGGACATCGCTTGATATATGTTCACGGAACGGACAGGAATGCCTCAATCGTAGCAGCTGAGCAGATTTTTGCAAAATGCAGACAACGGATGCAGGCGTTAGGCATCCCACAGGGGTGCGCATTCTCGTTCAGCTTCTCTTCTCGCGACCCTTTGCGCCGCTCGGCTTCCTCCATGATATGTACCATGATTTCTCACGATCTCACAACGCACCGAAAACAGACCGCTCTCCACGGACTGGTCTTGGACCAGTACCGTCTACAAAACGGGTGGACCGAGCAGGACGCAATGTTGTGGCTCAATATGAGATGGCTCGGGGAACTCTCAAGCTATCGCTGCATCCTGCTTCACGACTTTGACGAATGCGATAAACAGAGTCGAACCGCTTTTCTCAATTTCTTCAATAGTAGAGCAGATGGGTGCGAATTCAACGCCAAGATATTGGTGACGTCTCGACAGCCAGGCGCCCTGTTAGATGAGGTGGCAAGATGGCCAGAAATAAACATTGATCGGCTTTGCAGCCCTGAAAAAACAGTAAAGGGTGCCGGGAGTCTCGAGGGATCTGGCCTTGACGGCTTTGCAACACCAGCCTCTACGTCACGCGACCCCTTCCGTCTTCTTACCGATCTTGACCTAACAAGGATATACGCTGCAAGACTTGAACGGGGCCGCCAACACCTTAAAGCTATGGATCATGACAGGTCAAGCTTCATCCTCGAGCTACTCCAGGCCCACTCAGCCTGGCCCGAAGATATCTCGACGAGGTCGCTAACCAAATTTGCCAATCTCTTGGACCGTATATCACCAACCACCACTGCTAAAGATATGTTGGTTATAATACTCCAGTCTCTACCTGATACTGGGGCTGTGCAATGGATTCTCAAGTGGTTGGTACACAGCTACCGGCCCTTGACACGGGTTGAACTTGCCACCATTCTGTACCTACAGCCAGTCAAGGGCGCACAGCCGTCATCGGATGCGTCGCCGGCTGCTCTAGCTGAGGCGCTTTCCAATATTACCAACTGGCTTAGGGGCGTGGTAGACTTTTACCAGGACCAGATGGTAGTTCGAAGCGAGGTTTGGAACATATTCATGGAAGACGCAGGCACAGAAAACCGCCTCCTTAGGGACAACAGCGATATATGCCATTCGACCATTCTCGACTTCTGTCTTGCCTATCTCAGCGAGCCGGATGTACAGGAAAAGGCAATGCGGATTTATCAGTTATACCTTTCACAAGTCCGAAGAGCAGCCGGCAACAAAATATCCCCTCCAATGATGCCAGACGGGAGAGATCCTCTATTCTACTTCATCGTGGCCCTACCGTATCACGCATCACAGGACCCTTGCCGCCGGGAGAAGATTACAACGCTACTGAAAAACAGAGACAAATGTCTTGAAGTTTGGTCCAAGCTGTGGTGGGCGATGAGCAATTCTCTCTCGCGACCAAGGGAGCCTCCACAGTATGCTTACCCACTCCTCGCCGGCCTCGGTCTTGTCGACTACCGTGAACTGGGGACTTCATCTAGAGGAAGAAGTAAAATCTTAATCTTGGCGGCGGCGAATAAGAAAAATGACGTCGTGATGGACTTGCTGGGCACTCGGACGGATTACTCGTTATCCACGCTCACCAATGCCCTTGAGGCGGCCACAAAGGCCGGTGATGAAGACCTTGCTCTCTTAATCGAGAAGGTGCTAGAATTCTGGTACAAGCCCAGCCGAGAACAGCCTTTGAACGTCCAGCAAAATATGTCGTCGCCGCCGTCTTTGTTGTGGAGAGCTGTGCAGTTGAACATGGTCCGACTGATGAAGGTGCTGTTAGAAAACGGCATGAGGGCTGATCCCGAAATCTTTAACGACTACTTCTTTCCCTCGCCACTTCACATAGCATCTGTTTTGGGTAACGCTCATGCTGCAAGAGTGTTGCTGAATCATGGCGCGGATCCTAAACATGAGCAAATTCGTTGTATCGCCTTGATGAGGGCCTCCGCGGCGGGACATGGTGACGTAATTAAACTGCTCCTCTCTAAAGAACCCTCACTACTGCATGACACATACCCAATGGAGGTGCTTGGTGTTCTGGGGAGGAGGCAGTGGCAGCTGTCCACGCCACTCAGCATGGCATCGTGTACTGGGCATTGGAAGGCAGTGGAAGCTCTTCTCCAAGCTGGAGCCGATCCAGACCCCGATCTTATGTATGAAGTAGAAGAAGAAGAAGGAAAAGAAAACGACTGCTCAGTTTCTCCGCTTTGTTTTGCTAGCATGAAGGGGTGGTTGCAAACATGCGAAGCACTTCTTGAAAATGGCGCAGATGTAAACCGACTAGGCTATATGGGCAAGTTCGACGCTCTGTTTTGCGCCGCCGTCTTTGCTGCCAGCGTTCCATGTTGCTGGGCGCTCATTGCCCACGGAGCAAACCCGAACGGCCAAGCTCAACCTCTACTAGTTGAGCTCGTCCTTGGCAGGTCCTATTTGCAGCCTCGGCCTGTCACAGAGACTATTGCCGTCTTGGACGTATTCGTAGACCATCGTCCACGCCTCGACATTGACCAGACCGATTCGGCTGGTTTAACGGCGCTCATGCATGCCTCTAAGAGGGGCAGTCTTCCCCTTGTCAAGTGGTGTGTTGAACACGGAGCAAATATCAAGGCAGTGGACAACCAAGGGCAAAGCCCCTTGTTCTACGCTGTCGATGCTGGTTGCTTTGACGTGGTCAGGGACTTGCTTAAGTGGGAGGTGAACATAGTAACCGACACCATCCTGCAAAGGGCCCTCGACGGAGGTAATTTGGCCTTGCTCGAGAGGCTGCTCAGGGCCGGAGAAGACTCGGACTCGGCCTCCGAATCTGTCAACACGCTCATTAGATTGGCTATACACGCTCGCAATGCAGATGCTGTGAAGATGCTCATCAAGTTCAAGCCAGACATCAACCGCCTGGATGAATATGGATGGAGCCCTTTATGCGATGCTGTCGGCTACGTCCCAGATGCTAAGATAGCGAGACTACTAATTGATGCCGGCGCTAACGTGAGTCAAATACTTGAGGATAGTAGAAGGAACCTTATGCATCTGGCCATGGGAGCAGATGCCGACGTGATCTGTCTCTTGTTTGAGTTTCCCAAGGCCGTCGATATAGACCACCGCGATGAGTTCGGCAACACGCCCCTTCTGGTTGCAGACAACTCGACAAAGGTTGAATGCGTCAGGCTTTTACTCAAGGCCGGCGCTGATATCAACGCACAAAACTCGGATGGACTCACACCACTGATGAACGCCATCGCGTGCGACGCGCCATCTGAAGTCATCCAGTGTTATTTATCTCAACCTCAACTAGATCCCAACATCTACTCAAAGATCCACGGCAGCGCGCTGCATGTTGCTTGTCGCACGCTCGACAAGGACATTGTTAATGGGTTGATCAGAATCGGGTCCGACGTCAACCAGCACCTGCCAGCCCCGGCTCTCTCGCCACTTATCGTCGTTTGTATACCATTCCCAGACGTGAGTCTGAAGAAGCGGGAAAACACCGAGTACATTGTACGCGCTCTGATCCGCGCAGGCGCTGATGTCAATTCCACGAGCAAGATGGCTCAGCACGATTCCCATCGTGCCCTGTCCACGGCTTCTTTGTGGGCCAGAACATCCACCCTTGAGATTTTTCTATACCAGGGCGCCGACGTCGAGGCGCGGGATCCTGTAGGCCGACAAGCTATTCACTTTGCCGCTGCTAACGGCGTAGGCAATCTTCGCGCCGTAATGCGATTTCGCGAGGGAAGCGTTGCTATAGCGGACAACTCCGGGAAGACGGCTCTGCACTGGGCTGCGCAGTTCGGGCGTTTGCAGTCTTTGAAGTTGCTTCTATCAGGAATGAGCCCGGATGAGCGGACGAGACGTGTAAACGAGCCTGATATCGACGGCTGGACGCCTCTCTGCTGGGCGATGCGGACGTCGCCTATCGTATGGAATCATATGTCCGAACCGTTTGAATGCAAGGGCTTGGTTGAGTGCCTCCTCCAGGAAGGGGCGGATCCGTCTATCCAATGCTGGATAGGCGAGGGCCAGGATAAAGAATGCTTTACACTGCTCCACCTCGCCCATCTACATGATGCTGACGAGAAGATGGTCGCTTTGATCCGAGACACCCTGACAAAGGGCAAAGACACTCCTCAAGGACGGACAGAGTGGGAGGGGAAGACTTGCAGTCTGTATAAGCCTCGTGACGTCTTGTGTGATGTCTGCCTCTGTGTAAGTTATTAAAAATCCAACCAGCGAATGTTGTCTTGCGCACAAGATATGAGATAGTCATTCGCTATCCGCCGCCTCGTGCTATTATCTACATGAATTTAGCTGACTTATGCTTGTGTTTCTACCTGTAGCAAATCCATGGACTCGAGTATGTTTGCAAGACGTGCACAGACTTTCGTGTTTGTAAAAAGTGTTACGGCCGTATCGATAGGTATCACCAGGATTTTGAAGACGATAATGGGACGTTGTCGGCACACATCTTTGAGGTCTCTGATCATGAGGAGTTTATTGACAAGTCGGATATAGTAGACACAGGGGAGGATTCGGATACAGATAGGACAAAAGTAGACGAAGAAGAAATTGAGCAGGATGGTGGATGCAGCTCCCAATAGATGAACTCGGTGGATGACGGGGCTGGTTCTCAGATTGACATTCCCATAATGTAAGACATAGAACCTTCATGCCAGATAGGTGATAGCTCGGGTATTTCTACTTCGCATAAGCAATGAGCACAGCATTGCAATGCATTATGCTACTTTTATTAGATATAGTACCACAATTGCGTGGTTAGCTGCGGTTCCCTAGCCTAAATACGGCCGATATATAGTGTTACAAAACGTTTTGCCTCGTCTTGCGGCCGTTTTTTATATTTTTTTTCTTCTTATGGACTTGATAATATAATGCTGCAAGCTTCTGGAAAATGTACAGGCTATCCGCATCTTGAAACAACTGTGCAAGACCATCGGGCTTGAAGTTATTATGGAGCCCATGAACGAACATTGAAGACGTCAAGCAAACTATACCGTTGTGGTTTGGCCTAGATTCAGATGCAATTGTCCATGTTGGCGCCTATTGTCTGACACGTCCCATGCTGCTGCCGCGGGACAATCAGTAGGGCATGCACATGTACGAGCTTTAACTAATGAATACGTTACTAATAATACGAAAACAAATGCCTGAAACACGAATCAATCTCTCAGTGCCGAATGTAACGTCGGCTACCAGACCCTATACCCAAGTCTGGCGGGTGCCGTGCCTTATATCTCCCTCCGGTCTGGCGTCAGTCAACTCCGTATAGACTTGGCAGCCTACCCAATGAAACGTTTCAAGTTACATGAGACTTGCAGAAACAATTACTCTCTAGTTTAACTCGTTCATACAAACAGCCTGCTGCTTTTTAAACGTCTGGTTCTCTCACACCTGCCAACCTGCCGAGAAGAGCCAGCAGCCGTCCTTGGCGACTAGAAACTACATGGCACCAAATCCACGCTCGCGAGGGCAACAAAAATCACCGTCCATAGCCCTCGTCTCGATTCCAGTCCGCATGCCAAGTTATTTCTCAACTTCCCCCTTTAGCCATTCCAAAACAGCGAATACATTTTGATCAGGAGGAAACACCGGATACCAAAACTTGATAATCTTGCCCTTGGATATCGCCAGGGTCAACCGCTTTATCAGAGTTTGACCTTTCCATTCAAATAGAGGAAGCTTGAGAGCCTCCGCGAATTGCAGCTTCTCATCACTCAGGAGGTCATATGGCAGATGAGTCCTGTCATGGAACTCACTCTGTGTCTCGGAGCCCTGGGTAGACAGCCCAAACAGGAATTTGACTCCGGAGGCATATAATGCGCCCGCATTGTCGCGAAAGGAACAGGCTTGAGGCGTGCAGCCGCGTGCTCCTGGGATGGCGTCCCAGTCCGGGGGAACGGATTCTCCCGCTGCGGCAGAGCGAGGATAACAGAAGACGATTGTCAACCCGTCGAGAGCAGACAGGTCAACTTGGACGGCCGAGGTATTCGTAGTCGGAAGACTGATGCGGGGGAGGGTGAGCCCTGTCAAGTGGTTGCAAGCTCCATCGTCGACTGGTTCGGGTAGACCAGACGGCAACGTTGGCATCATGTTGTCCGATTCACCTGCCCTAGCAGTGGTACTCATGCGTCCTGGTCCAGATTCAACACCACAAAGGCAATATATCAGGTCACGGTCGCGATGACCAGAGGAAAGGAACCGAGGCGAGTCTTATATATCCGAGGTTCCCAGTCGTTGTCGCCCCCACTGGCCGATTCGACGGGATGGCGTGGTCAGCGGTAGACGGGCAAGCCTGGCCCGGAGAGGGAAAATGGTGACTCACGTCCTGCTACTCCCGGGGCCGATTATTCGGCACGGGCTACAATCCGAGGGTGTTGGACGTGTGCACAGACGGTTCTCCAAAATTGCATTCCCCGCGGGCAAAGGCCCCCAATATACTTTTCTCTTGGGTGCCACAATTTTCCGCCAATGGCTACATCGCTTCCTGCTTGGCTATAGGGGAGATTGCCCTAGATCGAATGCCGGGGTAGTCATGGATTGTTGGGGCCAAGAACAGACGGCTGCATGCACATGTGTGATCTTGCGGATTTCATGTCCATGTAGCGTCATCCGGTCCGGCCCCACCAGGTTGGGCGGCGAGGGAAGACTCTCTCCGCCCGAAAAGACAAGACAAGAGCATTGATCAACACGCATCATCGGCCTTGAGCCTGCGCAACTAAACATAACTTCAGTGCCGGAGATGCGGAGATGTAGAGATCAGAAAGGTGGGCGGCGTGTGGCTTGATCGTGTGCCGTACAGCTGGGTGCATGCTCCGGTAATGCGCCGGTGCGGGTCCCGTATAGTATAACGACCTCCACTGGGAGGGCGTCAAGTACATACGTATTGATCGATTGATGTATTGATGACTCCATGCCTGCTCACCTCTAGATGCCTTTGGATGTTTTTGGTCATCAGCGGCACTACCGCCCAAGGAACAACCAATGTGGGAAGCCGAGCCGGTCGTGACTATGTATCAATACTGCTTGTCACGATTGATAAGTTTTGAGACCGCCAGCAGCCATGAGGCTACAGAGATAATCCAACCGCCCTGGGTTTGGCGCCATGAGAAGCTCGCCAGAAAACTATAAGAGACCTTGAGTAGCTTTCACTGCCTTGAATAAATGAATCCCTTTCTAAATGTACGTACTCATATTAGTCAAAACAAGTGACACAAGTAACTTTGTGTTTTCTTGAAAGGATTTCGAGAGAACCACCCAACTGTACAATTATTCCCCACAAGTATATGACGCTTGATTCCTCTCGGCCCGAGATCCTGGCCAAGTGTGCACGGAATAAAATGATGTTGATGGTTGCCATCAAACGCCGGGCATGCTCTTTCCCCGGTGACCGCGGTGACTGGTTTGGGAGGTGCCAAAGTCCAAGGGCATATGATTGATCCGTGTGAACTGGTTCCGGACCATGACAGATGACCGTGCATGCCGCGAATAGCTGATTTGATGCGACCTTGTCATCTTTGAGTCACAGCAGTTCCACTATCAAGATCCAACCTAAATGCAGCACAGATTTTGGGTGTTTAATACCACCCGGTAGGCTCATTTCGGCCGACTGTTCGGCCTATGCTAGGACCTAGCGTCGAATAGACGGAAAACGGAACTATGCAGGTAGGTCTGTTCTTGCGTATTCCAAGCAGACGCCAATGGCTTATTCAAGCATCTTCCACAACAAAAAGGTGCCGCAAGAGGAGGCTTCTACCACTTCCAAAGTTCTTCGCAGTCTCTATTTCCATTCTTTTGCTGGCACTTTCCCGCTTCTATGGCGACCTTTTTGCAATATCGGGCCATTGGCCAGCGAGTAAAGCGTCAACTCGACCACACCCTGCAAGATGGGAGCTGCCCTTTCCCTCTTGAGGACATGGAGCAACAGACCGAGATCGATACTCCGAATAGTCGCCGTGTGTTGATTGTTGGCTGGGATGGACCCGACGACGACGGAAACCCTCGCAACTGGGCCACGGGGCAAAAATGGCTGGCTACTATCCTCGTATCCCTTCTCGCTCTGCTGGTAGGAGTCTGCGCACCAATCGAAGCACCCATCAGACAACTTGCCATGCACGAGTTTAGCATCTCTGAAATGGTAGAGTCGCTTTCGGTTGCGCTGTTTCTAGCCGGCATGGGAGTAGGCGCACTGGTCTCAGGACCGTTTTCCGAGGTCCTGGGCAGGTCGGGAACGTACGCAGTCACACTACTATCCATGTGTATCTGGTTGATGGCCTCGGCATTGTCGCCGCATATTGTACCTCGCCTCCTCTTCCGATTCATGGCAGGGTTTTCCGGCGCAGCACCGCTTGTGTGCTCCGGGGGAACGATTTCGGACCTGTGGGCGCCCAAAGACAGGATATATCCCTTTTTGTTCTTTACGGTCGTCGGTTTCGGTACGCCGGCTCTGGGCCCGGTATTCTCAGCATGGATTTCCAACTCGTCTCAGCACCATATGTGGAGGTGGGCTGAATGGATCGCACTCATATTCAGTGCAACTGTCCTTTTGGTCTTGGTTGCATTCCAGCCAGAAACATACGCGCCGGTTCTCTTATCTTGGAAAGCAAAGCACCTGCGAGAAATGACGGGAGATCAAGGCTATCACGCACAGCATGAACTTGAAGACCTGGCACTGCCTCATCGTCTGAAAATGGCTTGTATCCGACCATTTACCATGGCCTGGAATGAGCTGACTATTAAGCTTGCATCCCTCTATCTTTCTTTCGTATACGCCGTTCTATTTACCTTTTTCGACGGCTACCCAATCTTGTTTCAGGCAACATATGGCCTGTCGCACGAAATGACGTTCGTGTTACTGGCGGGCATCTCACTTGGTGCGGTGTGCTCGGCGGTTCTGGGGCCAATTGTGCATCGAAAAGTTCTACACGAGACGAAACAAACGAACCAAGGGACGCTACATGTAAACCCAGCCGGGAGACTTTGGTTTGCCATGTTGGCAGCCCCAGGCCTACCTGTATCTCTGTTCTGGATGGGTTGGACTGCTTTCCCCACCGTTTCCATATGGTCACCACTTGCAGCTTCACTTCTCTTTGGCTATAGCATCACTGGCATTTTTATCGGCATCTCCATGTATGTCATTGATGTGTATGCCCAATTTGCGGCGTCAGCAATGGCTTTCACTTACCTGGCTCGGTACCTCGCTGCAGCTGCCATGACAGTGGCCGGAATCCCTCTCTACGAAAATCTTGGAGGGCATTGGACATTAACATTACTGGGGTGCATTAGCATCATCTTGACACCTCTCCCGTACGTTTTCTTTAAATTCAATCATGCTCTGCACCATAAGAGCGCTGGTATGGCCTAGACTAGTCTTGATAGCAAATTGCACCACAACTTTCGATCCTTTTTCAGGGGCCAGATACAATGCTACATGTTATGAAATCTAGATCTTGAACTTGACGTTTAAAAGGCTACACCTTTGCATAATCAAAGAGATACGCTTTCTCGGTGACTTTTTCCCCTCATTACCTTTCTCTGTGATACTCCATATCGCTCGCTGTTCGTGGGATACAGCGGACATGGCGGTAATTGCGGCAGTAGTTTCCCGCGTTTGCCGCTAGGGTCAAGTGTGCTTTGGCTTGACTTATTACTCGTGCCACATCCAACGTTACTTATCTGGTAGGTGGGATCTGTCGTGATCCAAGAGACCCGCCGCGTATCTAACAACTTCCAGTGCTAGCCTACGATTGGCCAAAAGGACCAGACTAGAGAGAGTCGATACACCTTGGGAGCTACGACGGGAACTTTTGCCTGCCAAGCCGCGCAATGCCGTGCCTGAACTTGGTCCATCCCTTAGTCGCGTCATGTACCCGATACGTCTGGCTGTTGTCTCAGTGTCGAAATAACCAGACCTTTATACATCCCAGCCAGATCTAGGGGCCAGAAAGTGGCTCCAGACTATGGCCAGACCGGATAGGCCGGTTCGACTGGTCCTCCGCAATGTCTGGTACTATATCATCCGATTTATTAAGGCCCGCAATCTCGATTACGTGGTTCCTCTTAATTCCGAACGACCGTCGCCCACGACTCGAACACCGTCACCCACGACTCGAAAACTGTCGCCCACGACTCGAACACCGCCTCCACCCTGAAACCAAACTTCAAGCAGGAGCGGCCTGCGTTGATCTTGACGCTCGTAAGCCAAACCCGCATCAACCGGCACGTGATGAGATGTATACAGTATAACCCCTGTTTGATTAACCACCCGTGACCTCACAGCACTTGAGGGTTAATAGAGGCTAAGAGAGCATAGGGGCCCTGCTATATCAGCGATCCAGCTGCTGAAGTCAGGGCTTGCTAGACGATTTAGTGGGGTCCTAGTAAGGGTAGTAGTAAGGTACACTGCCTAGCTTACTTTTTCCTGGAAAAAAACAGGTACTTTCTCCCCCCACCTTCCTTAATTAACCAGTGCTTTTTATTGGCTATATATCCCCTTGTGAAGTCACGGGTAGTTAATTAAACATTGAGGGGTTATACTCTGAAGTGGGGACCTGTTGACAGTCGGGATGAATAGCGCGTGGAGCTCTTGCACGTGGCATCTAATTAGGCATGAACTTGGTGGCTGAGCAGAGTTTCCGGCACGTTGGCAAGCAATAAGCCAGGATGCAGCTTCCCGCTTTGCATCTTGAACATGATATAATAGGAGCGTCCCCTAGGCTTTGATTGGTCAACGGGAAAATACCAGACTCCTTGGTACCTGGTTCATGGAAAATTATAGCTTACGCCACTCCCGTGTAGCATCGTGAACCTCGGCCGCAGGCCACAACATGCCAGAGCTCGCCGCAGGGTGTCGAGTCATTCTCGGCCGCTTTTCTTACCCCTAGAACAACTGTGCTCAACCTCCATGTGACAAGGGCAGGGTAACTGGGCTTGGAACAGAGGGTTCAATTCAATCTATAATAATCGACTTTGGGTTATCAAAGGTCCTTAGATTGGCACGAGGCTTTGAGGGACTAAAGGCCCCTATAAATACAGGAAGTCGGTGAGGGCTATGTGCTTGAGGCAGCCCTCGCTTGTGACCGACTTCGGGCCTCGTGACCGTTGCCTTTGTTGTGTAACCTTTGTTTGTTGGCCCAACGCCCTTTGTTGTGTGCCAACCGTGTAACAATCCATCTCAGCGACCTGCTTTGATGCCACTTGTATTGGAGCGGCCGTGGTGTACCCGGATGAACTCTCGTACGAGCAAGCCAGAGACGTTTGTGGCGTTGGGAGTTGCTACCAGGTGCAAGGGACTAAAATCAGCATATTCATGGTTTATAAGTCTTTGAACCGTGGCATTGATGGTTGTTCATTTATTCATGCCTTCAAGGTTAAGCTTAAAACCATGTCGTGCTGAAACGTGATAACCTTGCCTAGCCACAAATGGCATCGCGACTCATACAATGGCACCGTCCTTCACCCCTTGGCATTACATTCCATCTTGTTCATCACCAGTTGCTTGACATGGCATGATGCCAGGTGTTTCGTGGAAGCCAAGTGGTCATACGACAACATGCAAACAGAATTTTATAAAAAGGCACCATGATGCAGACAATGTCTACCTTTATTCTCAACTTCACATCACACCTTTTATTTGACTGTCTACAGCTTTAAAGCCAAGAGAGGATCAGAAATTCATTCTTTTACCATGGGTGTATTCAAAACTTTGTTCTTGTTGTTTGCGTCTCAGGCGTTGGCCGCGCCTGTAGATGGCCAAGAGGGCACAAAGAATGCCGCCGGCCAGAATGGCATCCTGCACCTACCTTTGGTCCACTTCGCAAAAGAAGTCGATGCCAGAGATATTGAGAAGCGTGGATTCTCGACTCCCCTTGACTATTTCAAATATGATGGAGAGAGAGCAGTCACGGCTGTAGGCATCGTTTTAGACGTCGGGACACCGCCGCAAAAGGTCATCTTAGAACCAGACACCGGATCGTCCAAGTTTTGGCTACTCGGTTTAAAGCCTGGCGATACTCGCGGGAATGGTCCGTCTGTTTATTTTGATCAAAAACAAAGCCAGTCTTTGCAAGACTTGAACAAAGAGGATGGGGCTAGTTATGGTTCAGGCGAGCGTGTTACTTATAATATGGTTACTGATAAAGTCTCTTTTGAAGGTAAGGGCATTATTTACTCCATCCCATACAGGGACAACGAGCCAGTAAATATGAAAAAGAAAACCCTACACGCATCCCAACACATTTCTAACCTATGTTTGACAGATATATTGTCGAAGTCCAATCTGTACTATTCAACAACGGTACTGGTAATAGTGCAGTCGTGCTGGACAAAGGGGACCTTGAAAACGGCAAGCCGTTAACTATGGGCATAGATTCCGGAGCCCCAGCTTTCGGGGTTTCTGGGGCACTGGGGAGACTCCTTATGCCCAGGACGGGGGCGAATTTTAAACTCAAGCCCCGAGTTCTCGAGTTCGGATGCGATGTAGTCGACGCCAAAGCTTCGTTTGATTTCAAGATGAGTGATAAGACGGTCATTTCGATCCCTCTTTCGGATTTACTTTGGAGCCGAATTGACAATGGCAAAACTTGCCAATTGGCTGTTCAAGGCTGGAATGGTGATGCTGCTGGTGAGAAAACCCCCGTACTACTAGGAGAATGAACCTCACACTAACTCTTTTGGTTTTGTTACTTAGACCTTTGGATTGGCGGACACTTTTTACGCAGGTCTCTGGTTGTCTATGATCCAGATAATAAAAACGTCTACGTCGCTCGAGGGGCGGATTGTGGCTCGAACCTTGTGGCTATTGATGGTAAAATGCCAGACGATGCGGTAATCGGCGAGTGTAAGGAAGAGGCTCCGGACTCTAACGCACCAACGGACGAGCCTCCAAATACGACCCCGGTCCTCGAAGAGGCTGATATTCGAGATGCCTGAGCACCGTATAAATGCAGAGGAGACCAAGTAGGGAAAAGATGACTAGTGTACCGCGAGAAGAGGAGTTCCTTCCATGTCACGAAGAAGGTTCTGCCTCTATCCCTTCTATACTCTATAGTATATAGCAGATTCTATTAGATACAATAAAGAGTCTTTGTCCTACATTGAATCCAATAACAAGACGTTTAACTTTATTCCTCTTGAAAACGGGGCCCATTTCCGTAATCGTTTCTGCGGCCGAGTCGCGTAGGGATGAATGACTCTTTGCATTCTATATGCGGCGTTATATACGAGCAAGACCTCTCCACGAGACCGGTATATATCTTAGCTCCGTCACAAACTTCACTGGGGTCTACGCAACCTAACCTGGCCCAAAGAGCTGCGTCGTCAACATTTCCGCCACCTTCACCCACACAGAACTTTGAAATGGTGTCGGCGACACGAATTATCCTATGGCGTCTTATTTCCAGCGTCGTCAGCACTCGTCTTCTGCCATCTGTATGCTCTTTCGATGCCCCGTCGGCTTTGCGCAGTATCACACAGCTTTTCATTTCCGCATTCACACGTGGCCCCTTCCCGCAACCACCGATACGTGATGCTCCAGCGATCCTGCCTCGGCCGTACCGTTCCATCAGGCAGCGTGTCCGTCTTGCGGGCTCTTATACCATGCGTCCAGTGCAATCGTGAATCGCCACCGAGCTGTAGCAGGCTCCTCGGCCGCAAGTCCACCTCGACCTTGTGGCCCGAGTCGCCGTCGCGAAATTGCATGCACACCGGGGAGCCCAGCGACAGCGAATAGAGCTGGTCGTATGCGCTGTGTGTGTCGACGTGAGGCGGGATCCCGGCCCCGGGGGGGTAATGCTGCAAGCACACCTGGTCGGGCTGCCTGTTCTCTCTCTGCGGCAGCAGCGGGACTAGCCAGTCGGGAAACGCTCTGAAGGGGACATCGTGGTCAATCCCAAACGTCTTGTAACTGAAGGTGTAGCCGTAGTGAAGAGACCGGCGACCGGGCAATGTTGGCCACTCGAGATGTGCGAAAACCTTTAACAGTTCACGTTCGGCTTCGGGCGAAATGAAGTCTTGTTCCATCAGAAGCCCCGGAGGTTCAGAAGGAAGTTCCCCCATGCTGAGCTACAATATTCAATCATCAAAAATGAGTTTCCTTGTCATCGATGATGTGTCGACTGAGGTCGAGTGTGATGTGGTTCCGGTAAAATTCCTTCCACCACACCTCACATGATTATGTAATCATTTGGGACTGTCCCCGAAATCCCGCCACCGGGTGGCTTAAAAGCACGCCTATACTCCTCGCGGGTTTGTTAATTACTAAAAAATTGCTTAGTCCCTAAGTGACCTCTTATATAACCGCATTTAAAGGCAAGGTTGAGTTTTTTAATACATCTATATCTATACCTACTTTTTGCTACTACCTAGCTCTAGCTACCCTATACTTTATATGTATGTTGTATATATAGTAGGCTACCAGCTCGTGCCTAGTATCCTGCACGTATTTGCCTTAGCTGCTCATGATAATCACCACCGAAACTGCTACTCGTATTAAAAGTCTCTACCCTCGTGGCGGTACCCGTACTTTGACTGCTAGAGTGATATATCCTTTGGATGAACGTTCGCAGTCCTGATATAGTCCCTGTAGGAACCATGGGTAGCTGCTCCCTGACTGTAGGCTCGGACAAGCTTTCCTGCTTGTGATTTCGCGTAAGTAGCTGAGCAGGGCATTTGAGGACAGATTTCCACCTAAAGTGACCGGACACCACAATTAGCTTTGCATTTGTCCTAGAAAGTCACCACGCAGATCGCGATAGAGTCTTGATCTCGAAGTAACTAGACACAAGATTAGGGTAAGCGTTAAATAGTGCTTACGTCGCGGCCAAATTTGCCATTAACTTTTTCAGTATCGACGGAATAACGGGCATGCAGCTACAAATAAGACCAATGCAAAGCTCGAGAGTTCTATGAAAAGATGGTATCAGCGTATATGTTGCCTAGAGTAACGACAAGAACTACCTAGCTATCGTGGAAGTCGTACGCATAAATATAGTTGAGACTATTTTCCCACGTCCTATCCGCGTTTTCACCGACGAGAGTATGTCTCTGGGCCAAGGACGCAGCGGAAATGGCACATGCCCTGGAATTCTTTCTTAGTACAGCCTTGGAGGTAGACGTGGCATAATTTCATAACAGAGGAAGGGCATAGAGCTTACGCCAGCCCTGTCGAGAAGACACCCAACACGGCAGCTTTGCGCCTCGGCGGCAAGTTGAGGTCCCAAACAAGCCACAATGGTATTGCTAAAATATAAACATCTGAGATGAGGCCATACCATCCATGAAACTTGTAGATTGACAGGACTTGGTTAGAGCACTGTACCTCTCGCATTGTTTCCCAAATTGGCTGGCCAAAACGAACACAGAGGCCGATGTATCCGGCGAAAGCAGCGAGGCTAGAGAGGACAACAGTTATAATGCCGAGCCAAATAGCCCTGAGCGACCAGACAGCACGCTTAAAAATACGATGATATAGCGTGAGGAGAGTCAGTTTGGTAAACATGTTGCTCAAGGTGTATATAAGAAGTGCAGCAAAGGTTGCCTGTCACCATGGTATATCAGTGGACGCTCAGGTGAATAGTATAAAGCCTGACCCTACCTCTATCCAGTAGTGGTTATTAACAACTTCTCCAAGTGGAATGTCCCAGCCATGTCTGCCTTCTGGGTTGTCCATGTCTGTGCGAATTCAAGTGAGTATACTTGAGCCGGTGGAGGGTTGATCAATTTGTGAAGACGCACAAGATACCATAAGCCCTGAAAATGCGATGACGGTGGCCTGAGAGAGAGGGTTGGCATGAAGAGAATATCCGCAGTAGGCTTCGGCGGCACTTACTGCAGATAAGAGGCAGAGATCTAGAAGAAATATTAGCCTTGCAAGTGTCAATATATAGAGATATATAAACAGCCGGGCTTATGTCTGTCAAGCTCCAGGGACATGGCTACATACAATCGTCAACGCCGACCGACTGTGTCAAACGCAACCGGGTGTAGATACGGAATCCTACGAATAAGACCATGATAGGAAGTATTGAGAACATTACTGCCCGGACCATTGGGCCCCTAGAGGCGGGATTGATAAAGTTTGGCGTGACTCCGGGGGGAGGGCGCAAGAATGGAGTGGTCCAGATGTCAACCGCCTCAACCTCAGCCAAGGGATTGCTTGCGATGGAAGGCATTACCGCCCGCCGAGGCTTCGCGGGGAATAAGGAATAGTCTGGGAACTTTGATGCGTTACTTGTGCAAGACGTGAATTTATTCAGCTCTACGGAAGTCCTCGCCACTCGCGTCTGGCACGTGTAGACTTTTGTAGAGGCGAGAAGAGGGAATCAGGCGGGACCCCAAGCCGAGTTGTCGGAGAGGCCGTGCTTATTATTCTGCCTTGCGTGGCGTTAACGCATGTCTCAGTTGCCTATATACTGCCAAGTTGTGCTTCTGGTTTGTCAGGTCGATCATCTGCAAGCTTCCCTTTTTTAAGTAGTGAAACCTCCGTCAGCTATTGGTATCTTACGATGGAACCATGTTCTGGCTTGCTCAGAGGCCGCCGTTACATGATGTTGCGTTGTACATGCTCGTTGTGATACATGGAATATCAGAATATATATTTTGAGGGTATGAGGTGTATGCAACCCGATCATTCAGTCTAAGTGATTGCATTATTCTGCCGTCTGATTTCTATATAGACAACTCATAGTTCACTTGCACAAGACGAGGACAACCAAAAACAAAGGGTTGCTTCGTAGCTTCGGAGTGTCTTCTGATGGGGCCTTGGCTGTAGTTCTGAAGCTATTCGTCACCTCAAAATATGGCTATGATTAGCGCTGCAATATACATGGCTGTTGAAGGATCCTTTATTGTTGGCTTCTATAGCCTGGCTCCTCAAGGGTCAATCATTTGCTTAGGGCTCGGTAAACCGCAGTCTGCGAAGTATCTCGCCACAGAAATATGGGCAAGCGTGTTTAAAAGAATAAAGGAACCTTTACTGGAGACCCCTTGCCTTTCCATAGTTAGGCCCCAACTGAAGGCAAAGCGTAGGACAGGTCAAGGCATGACCCGTAAGCTGAACGACGACAGTGATGATCGACACGCCAAAGGCCACGAGGGCTCTTCAATGGAAGACCAAGTACGGATTCCTGTGCTCGAGCACTTGTCAGAGTACATATTGAGGAAAGAGGCACCTATCCACATGTGCATTTTACCTACGGTGATAACGTTCGGGTCCGCAGTCGTACAGCCTGTCCGGACGGATTGACCGTTTTCCTGCTGACATCTGGACCACTTTGGTCGACTAGCACAGGCGGCAATGTGACCCCATGTGCATTAAATGTTGAAACTTTTGAATGCAGTGAGGAAATGCGGAGTGAAACATGGACCCAGCCTACCTGGAAGCGATGGCACTGTCAGCTGTATCTGTTAATACATGTACTCTGCTAAAATCGAGTCAAGTTGAAGGGAAAAAGCCTGAGGGCCAGGAATCCCAGCCTGTTTTGGTGCTCAAGTACCTACATGTACCTACGTATGTAGGGACTTGGAGGTATATCCCATTTGACCACATCGACAGGAGAAGAATGTCTGGTATCTTGCAAAGATTGGGACCAACGGGCAGTTTTTATCCAACGGCGCCAATTCTACGGTCACTTTCGTGTCGGAGATGCTATACAAGGGCCTGATATTTCGACAACGTCTCGACTCTCTTTGCATTGGCGAAGCCCGCGGAAATGCATCGGCCAAGAGCTGGCTAACATTGAGGGGCGAGTTATCACTGCATTGGTCGCCTCGCCCGTCGGCATGACTTGGTCAAGGTGGGCTTGGGCGCGGTGGCGCTGGATGAGGGCGGCCAACCCAGGTACCGGCTGATGGAGGAGCTATACAGAGTAGTATTGGCACAAGCGTTGAAATTATGCTGTCAATCCATGATTGGTCAACCGAGCGATGGCGCGGACAAGGCAGGGGACGTCGAAGCCCGTCGATGGCATGACGATGAAGGTGAGGCGAGCCTCTTATAAGGGGTGGTGAGTTGTGGAGGGTGGCCAGAGAAGATCTGACAAGGCGGACAAACGCTTGTCACGTCTCTTGGAACGATGCATGTATTTTTATACGAATTTTGGGGCCCTCTCCTGTCACTATCCTCGTAGTTATCCGTTACCCCATATCTTTGCATGCATGCATACGCCCCCGGACAGCCCTGAAGCCTCAACTTGATGGTATCTGGCATCTCACCTACATAGCATGTAGAGACTACGACGCAGCCTTGATAGTTCGGGCAAGCAAGTCTCTCCCATGGGCCCCAAGGCTTTTGCTGGGGTTGTACATGTACAACTACATGCACGCACAGGTGGAGTTGAACAAAGGCATCATATCCTTTCATCTGCGCACGACGCACACGCATACAAGAATATGTTGCACCGCCGTGTATGTAGGATGGCGCTTTGTAATCTACATATATCGCAAAACTAGACAAACTGACCCATCAAGTGAGTAATTTGAGAGGGCAGGGGGCTAGCTTTACACAGCCGGCCTTCATTCAAGGTTGTCTAATTGAAACATGGTATAAGAGTGTTGGTTTGTCATACCACCTCCACGGGACTTGGCGTGAAGTGAGGGAATATGTGAACTTGTATAATTCAATGTCCACTCCTGATAACTTGTCGACATGCTCTCGTATCTCTTTCGAATCTTACAGATTTAGATAACCCTCAGAACTCCTCTTGTCATCGTTGCCGTGTTCTAGAGATATTTACCATGCTTCTCTACATGGTTATCCCTGTCTTGGCCTTAATGGCAATTTATATCTCGGCGTCGGTCGTGTTACGTAAAAGTCAGGATCCAAAAGAGCCTCCCCTGCTCCTTGACTCTGTGCCGTATCTCGGCCCAGTATTTGCAGCCATCAAGTGGAGGCTCACATTCTTCACTCGCACACGGTAAGTATCCCGTGTAGCCCACCCGGCATACTGTTTGCCACGTAGATGAGAGTTACTCTGCGACATAGGCGCTGACCATGGAGGAAAGAAATGAGCATGGCCACCCCATTTATACACTACGTTTGCCTGGATGGCGGCTGTACGTGGTCAACGCCAACTCGTTGATCCCGATCATTGAGCGCAGGACTCGGACCATCTCCTTCGCAGCAGTCGAGTCCAAGGCCGCAGCGGCCGTTCTGGGTACGAGCAAAACCACAAACGAGATCATGGCCCGTGATCCTGGCCGCACTCAGAACCACTTCGCCTCGTTCCGCAAGACGGTGCGTCCCGTTTTGGCTCCAGGAAGTGCAACTCTCGATGCCATGTTCAAGAGGTCTTTCCATACAATGTCACTATCGCTAGATGAGCAGCTCACTCCAGGGAGCCCGAGGTCGGTCCAACTGTTGGCGTGGACCGGCCACGAGATCACCATGGCGGGAACCTATGGCGAGTATGGCGGCGCCAACCCCTTTCAAGACCCCTTTGTGGAGCAAGCATGGCTGTAAGTGAAGGTTTATCAGCTTGTCATTATATTCATGTCAACATGCGTACCGAGTCCATGGGCCGAATACTGAAACGAGGCTAGAAAATTTGTGGCAGGACTGCCCGTCCTGGTCTGCGGCTTCTTCCCCAGCATATTCGCTAGGCAGAGTGTGCAAGCCCGTGAATTTCTTGCCCAGAGATTTCTCTGCTACTTCAAAGAAAACCACCACCTCGGCGGCTCCGGTGCTGTGCTCGCCCGGCTGAGGCACAACACCGAGTCGGGAATGCCGCTGACGGACACGGCACGAGGCGAGCTCGGAGCGTGCTTGGCGCTCCTCAACAACACCATACCGGGTTTCTTCTGGCTCGTCTACCACATCTTCTCGGACCATGGCGTCCTCCAAGACCTCCGAGAGGAGCTCGCGGGCGCCGTGCGAGTCGGCGCCGACGGCGTGCGCACAATCCATGTCGCCCGTGTAAGGTCTTGCTGCCCGATACTACAGTCTACCGTGCAAGAAGTCTTGCGCTTCCGCGGCATCGGCACCGGCATGGTGCGCAGCGTCCTGCAGGACCAGTTCCTGGACTCGCAGTACTTGCTCAAGAAGGGGAGCCTGGTATTCGCACCCAATGCTGTGCAACACTTCGCCCCGGCACTCTGGGGCCTCGATTGCAACAGGTTCAATCACCGCCGATTCCTCCGACCGGGAGGGCAGGGTGTCAGGTCGGCAAGCTCGTCTGTACTGCGCATTTTTGGCGGCGGTTCCACGCAGTGTCCCGGGAGGCACTTTGCGCGAGGCCAGCTGCTCGTCTTTGCGGCGATGCTCGTCCTGCGAGCCAACATTCGGCCGGTCAGGGGGGGTTGGAGCTGCATCAAGGCAGAAAAGTCGTTTGGGTTGGGCATCGCCACGGGGTTCTTGATGCCAGATGCGGACCTGGAAGTAGAGATTTCGCCGACTGGTGAGCAGACTTGGCGAGTCGACTTTTGCACCAATGTGTGAGATTGACAACGACGCCGCACCTTGCCGTCTGGTGCTCGTTGGGCAAACAGGGGGAAGAAGGCTGCTCGAGGACAAGGCGACGTTGGCTGCATACATGTACTGTCTCAAATATGTGGTCAATGTCTTGGAGAGCCTGTCCATGGGGCGTTGCGCTAGAGCGATATCGTTATAACTACCGGACTCGTTGAGCTGGGGCGTAGTAGTCAAATCGCAGCCCAATGAGGGATTAGAAGATGAAAAGAACAGGAGGGAATACAACAATGTTATTAGGTTGACCCCGTTGTCATCCCAGAGACCCGCCGCGCAGTCATCTAACATCCTCTGGTCCCCAACAAGACCTTACGCATCGACATCCCGTCCAAATAGTAACCTTCTTTTCCACTTCGGGAGGGAGGGTTGCACGGGGAAACATCTGACGTGAGATGCCAAGTTTGATACCCAGCTATCCAGGTACTGTGGCCTGGCTTGCTTAGCTCCTCCCGTACTTACATACGAGTATGCCTGATGTGTCATATTCTTGCTACCACTACCACCGTGCCGCTTATGCGTTCAAACGCTGCGTAGCAGGCTGGACTGCTGCGTTAGGTAACGGGCCAACTTGTTCTTAATGTATGTGGCCCCTGTTTACCTATTGGTCTCGCATCTCCTCAAACCAACTCCATCCTTCGCCGACAGATTATCTTCTAGGATATAACGGTAGCCATGAAGCAACTAGTCGAAGCTCTTTTTGCGCCATGTACATGGCTAATTGCTGTCATTACCATTCTTTCGTTTATTCTGCTTGTCCGTCTCAGTCTGGATGCTAAGCTAATCCTCGCACTTCCCAACGGCTCCCCGAAGCATTGGGCTGCGTATCATCTTCCCCTGCTTGGCTCCGCTCTTCCGTTTTTCAGGAGGCGGCGAGATATGCTTGCTGAGGGACAAGGCCTTGTCACTAATGGAAATTTCAGCTTCTTCATCGGCAGCAAGCACATTGTCAACCTGGGAAGCTTGCAAGGACGTAGGACCTTCTTCGAAAGCAAGAATCTCAGTGTTTCCCAAGGGTACGGAGTGTTGACACTATCTGTCCTTGCACATGTGGTTACTGGCTATGCCCGCTAATTTGTTGAACATGTTTCCCAGTGCTATCGAGCTTTTGGTAGGCCTAGTCTCGGCCAACGACGACCTAGAGGACTCTGCCGCCCAGGACTTCATCAAGTCCCTTTTACCTCTGACTCGACCAGCCATGTTGGCCAGTAAAATATCAGTACTTACAGACGACATTCACCTATTCTGTCGAAATCTCCTCCTTTCCACTCCTTCGGAATCCCGGTACGTGCTTTTTTGCCTGCATTTTTATTCTACCACGCTGAATTGGCGGGTTGCATCCCGCTGACCCAACCAACTCTAGTCCGAACTGGCGGGTCATGAACCCATTCGAGAGCGTGTATTTCCTTACCTCCAAGTTAATTATGCGAGTTATTGGTGTATCAGAGTGGGCCGAAGATGAAAAATTAATGAATCATATCATCTCGTGCTTCTACAAGTTTGAGAATAACTGCAGCAGGGCACGGATTGTCTTTCCCGGCCTTGTAACTTACACGCACCTAAAGAAACTGTTTTACGGAGCCTTACTATGGAGGGGGATCACAGAGGTGGTTCAGCAGAGGAAAGCAGGCAAACGACGAGACGATGCTGTCCAGTTTGTGCTAGACCAGGACAAGGATGCTATTAGAGTGAGTTCTTGGCATCGTGGCAGGGCCCTTTTATTAGCAGTTGCCCTGACTCGCACTGGTAGTTCACGTTTAGCATTCTTTCATCCGGTATTACGACAGAGGGGTGTTCCGCATCGTGGTTGACCGTGTTTCTCGCCCATAGTCCGGAATGGCAGGCTAAATGTCGAGCCGAAGTGCACGGCGTAATCGCCCAGAAGCGAGGAACCTCGAGCCAATCCGCCGACAGCATTCTAGGGAAACTGTCGCTCGAGGAATGGGAAGGGAGTTTTCCCGTGATTATGGCGGCTATTCGAGAAACGGTCCGCCTTGCTATGCCGGGTGCTATGGTTAGGAAGAACGCTAGCGGGAGTGCGGTCTCTATTGGGCAAACAAGTGAAGTTATCCCAGATGGCGCTTATGCATGCTTCCTCATAGACAACGTGCATATGGATCCAGGGCTATATCCCGATCCCTACGGTTTCAATCCAGAGCGCTATCTCGTCCGGAAGAGTGGCTTGGAAGAACCAGAACCCCATACGTACGTCGGCTGGGGATCGGGACGCCATCTTTGCCGTAGGTGTTCCTCTATATTATGTTCTTGTTTGTGATAAGTTAAGCCCTAACTAGCGTGTGTAGCCGGAATGAGACTTGCTAAGCTGGAGATCAGTATGGTTATTGCTCACCTCCTTGCTCACTTCGAGTTTGAGCCTTCAGATGGGAAAGGTTGTAAGTTGAGAGAGCCATTGCCGCTAGTGGATAGAAACGAATACCGATTGAAAAAGCCCAAAGGGACAGTCTATATACGATACAGGCCACGCGAGTAGTAGGAGTTCTATGATTTACTATTACGTTCTAGCATTAGGTATTTAGGCTGTATATGGAAGCTACCCGCAGCTAGCAGGGACATACAGATTCTTAACCCTGCGTACATCGTTCCATGGCTGCTGAGTTTAAGAGTTCGGATATTGATTATAGAACCATCCATCACTTCTCTATGGAAGACGACGAAGTGGCGAGACGGGAATATGAAACAAATGATCTGGGTCTTGAAAAGTTGTTAGAAACCGGCAATTATAAAACATCAGCAACTGGACAATGGGGTCCGTGTCCAGATGAGTGCGGTAATGCCTACTTTCTGCTCATAAAGTCACAACAAGCGCTTGCCTGTGCTTCCATAATTTACACGCATTGGGAGAAAGGGTTTTGATTGAGTAAATACTCATATGCTAATTTTCTTCCTTTCTATTCATGCCATGTGGGGCTGTGGATGGATTTTACTGTGAGACATAAGATGTAATGGCCGCCGGGACTTTAGTCGCATCAAAAGAGTGACACCAGAAGAGTCAAAGGAGAGGCGCCGAGGCAGATGACTGGCCACACAAAACGGTCAGACTGGGTCTCACAAGGAGGTCCAATATTGAGCTCGATGGGATATGACTTTATATAAGCGACACGTTTTGAATAAATTGGCCCTGCTGGCTTCAACTTCTATGGTACCATAGTCCCTGCCAAGTCCACATCGTTGGGAAGCCCGGGAGGCGCCATGTTCTGAAAATCTAATCATACTGAGGCGCTCATGGATGCGATGTACCGCCGAGGTTTTGACAAGGTTCTTGGGGATTTACATAGCATTGGAAAGAGAATGGTGTGCAGACAGCCGAAGTCCTAGTCATGCGGTTGTCATGCAGGAGACGAGAGCGACCGCGCCCAGGGCTGGGGGGATTTTAGATGGAATTAGATAGATAATTAGGCATCCTGTGATTAAATAAACACGAACTGGGCTCTGTGTGTTTGGTAATTTCTGCTTTAATACTCCCTCTAGTACGGGGACTCTAGCCAAGCTACGTATTTAGATAAAATTAGTACAGCTCATATCGGAAATGGCTTCATGTTATAAGTTATAGGGATAGCATAAAACCTCCAGGTTTTACAGATAGCATAATGCCAAGGGTTACTTGAAGCTGGTAATTTATATTATTTAATTAATCATAAGCTAGGTAGTATATATCAATATATTAATCAATTAATTATTAGCCCTTGTTCCGGTAACCCTACTAGTCTTGGCACACCTCGTGAGATATGAGGTGTAATACGTCAATACTAGTCATGAGTGACCCCTTGCGACATAAATAATAAACCAGACCACTACACTCCACGCGGATTCTGTCGGCCAAGAGTCATGACTCGCGTCTAGAACAATGCGCATGAATGCCAAGGGACTCTCATGGTCGCAGAATACCTTGGACTGTAACGCAATAAAATAATACCTCTTACAAGTGCGCGACTACCATATTATTAGAGAATATAACATTATAAATGCCTTGCAGTCTCCATGGGCAAGTATAAAGAGAGCCACTACCGCCTTTAACCAAAGCACCTTGTCTCCCTCTACTACTTATAATTCGTTTTACCTCGCATCCTTTATATCAAAATCTTGATACTATTTATCTAATTTCGAACCAAAGAAGAAAAAATGAAGATTTCAGTTCCCCTAGTAACTTTGTTTATTGGACTAGTTGCGGCTAGGCCACTCGACGTCGATGCGCCGCCCCAAGAGTTGCCGCCTGTTGATAATCTCCTACCGCGCCCTGACGAAACTCCGAATTTCAATCTTGAGAAGGCGAACCGAGAAGCCTGCCGGCAACTTATGCAAATGAATGGTGCGGCTGAGGCTGCAACCAAGTTTGTAAGTATTATACCTCCCATTCATAATACAGTAGCTAAGCGTTTTAGTGTGGTCAGTTCCAGTAACAGACAAGATCCTCGAGCCCGGGCTTGGGAACGACAAGAATAGTGCTGCGTGTATTTAGATGTGCTTCATGGGTACAAGGAACTTTTTTTTATTAATAAGCTGTGTATTGACGACAAGCGTCCAAGACCTTTTATATCAGCACATTGCTGTACTACCGAACTATTCTAAAGGGATAAAATGGAATAAACTGTCAATATTCTATACAGCTCTATTATAGCGCCCAGTGAATGCATGAGACACCCAAAAGTCGCCTAGTTGCTTGGCAGCACCTGGCATACATGTATTTAACTAGACTCGAAGCCTTTGGGGGTTGCAAGATGGAGTCCTCGATAAGCCGAGTGCATTTGTCATGCCTAAAAAATAATTCCAACAATCTCGACGCAATTGCTGGGATAAATCTGCCGATACTATAATAATGCCAGAGGTGGCTTATTACTTGAGCTATCCGTTTTCCCTAATGAGCACTCGTGCCGCTTCGGCCGGAGACTACGCTGTTCCCTGATTCCGTAGTACGGTATCGCAATCAAGGGAGCGGTCTGGTGTTTATCGGAGTGGCACCAATAAGTTATAACAGAGCCCATGGGCAGTGCGGTAGGCTTTACGTGCTGCTCTTTCTGCGTCATTTTGACGTCTACGGCCAGAGGCGACATGTTCTGGTCCCCAGGTGGTGGGCTGAAAGTAGGTATTCCTCTTTCCCGTCATCGATATTAACCAACGAGCTGCATGGATGCTGACATGTCGGTTCACTCCATCATCCTAGCTACGCGCTGCAGTCGCTGTTTGGCTTGTTGCTGGCCACACCCTCGACCAACTCAGCTTCCATCTAGATTAGTTTGTAAGGCTAAATGTATCCATCAATGATGTCATTCACCACCGCGAACCCGATGAAACAACGTCACGGCACGACGCGAGGTCGCTTGCCGCTAACTCTGCCACTTCGCACATGGGTGACAACGTCCGGTTGTTCATTGCCTGACTGAAAGGCTGCGAGGCGTCGTACGTAGAGCCATGGGCTTCGTCTTCAACACTCTCTCCTCTTTGATCAACATGAACATGCATCAACACATCATCATGACTTTCCTCTCAATAAATCCCTCTTGGACACACGCGGACCGGCCGCAAGCAATACTTGCTACCCGTTGATGCAACTGGCGGTGATGCCGCGACACGAAACTCAATCATCCACCGACACACAAGGTCACACCCGCAGACCCCGACAAATCACGGCCAGCAATCTACGACACCACCATGAGTACAAGACGGGTGTCTTTCACAAAGACAAGAAATGTCTCAACAGCCAATTTTACCACCATGCCGTGTCACCCCGCATGTTGGACGAGACGCGATGCTCAAGGCGAACTCGTGAGGGGTATGGTGCGCAATGCAACGACGATATTTGGCAAAATCGAGGGATCGGCACGGCCATGCAAACATTTATACGAGCCCCGGCCTTGCAGCAAAACAGCCAGCATGGAATGCAACAATACCCCACATGTTGCGTCTGGAGACGCCGACTCCCAGATGAATATAAACAGAGGCAGTCGCGAGTGAGACTACTTGCAACATTGCGAGCCGGTCAGCGCTGGTGCGGCCTCGAGAAATATTGATACCACTGGGACTGTAAAGGCTATTTTCCATCCGTCGTTCCCATCTTGCCCTGCGTATCTCACAGTCTCGCCATGGCTTTGCTCTACTTTTTACTGTTCATTTCCCACGCCGTCCTGGTTGCCCTCGCCAGCACAACACCGAATCATACACGCTTCGATGTCTTGGACCTTGTCGACCCTCTCATCGGTACTGCCAACGGAGGTACGATCCGCGCGACGCGATTCCACGCTCGGTCCCGGCTGACCAAGTCCCAGGCCACGTCTTTCCCGGCGCCAGCCTGCCCTACGGAATGGCAAAGGCAGTTGCGGATGTGAACAAGGAACTCCAGGGCGGATTCACGTCCAACGACGGCGAGAGTAAGCAAGAAGACACCAAGTATTGCGGCACTGTTGCCTGCTGTACTAATAAAGGCCACTCGTAGTCACCGGCTTCTCGCACATGCATGACAGCGGAACAGGCGGAGTAGGTTGCACCGCGTCGTCGATGAGAAGGCACCCATTCACTGATTCCGTGTAGGGCGCCTCTCTAGGCAATTTCCCCCTGTTTCCTCAGACCGGGTGCGACGGGGACGTCCTGAACAACTGCTACTTCCCCAAGGCGGCACGGGCTTCGCAGAGGGTCAATGGCACCGTCCGGGCGAGACCGGGCTATTTTGCCGTCACGATGAACACGTCGGTGCATGTGGAAATGACCGTCACCAGCCACGCGGCCTTGTACAGATTCACCTTTCCGACCGACGGCACGCCCACCAAGAGCAGCGGAAATGCGACGCCCAAGATGCCATATAGTCCCCTGATCCTGGCGGACCTGACGGACCTCGCAGACTCGAGAAGCAACGGAAGTATCTCTGTAGATGCGCAGTCGGGAAGAATCACGGGGTTTGGAACGTTCAATCCCTCCTTCGGCATCGGCACGTACAATGCGTACTTTTGCGCCGACTTTGACGGTGCCCGGATCCGTGATACGGGCGTCTTTATGAACAACCGTGCCGGGACGGAGCCGAAGTCGCTTCAGCTCCCGACGGACGGGAATACAGTACCGGGCGGCGCTTGGGTCCAGTTCCATGCGCCAAAGTCGAACCAGGTTCAGGCCAGAGTCGGCCTGTCCTTCATCAGCACACAGCGAGCGTGCGACAATGCCGAGGCCGAAATACCCGATTTTGACTTCACCCGCGTGAGGCGGGCGGCGGAAACAGCATGGCGGAGCAAATTGGATACTGTCAGGGTAAACAGCACCGGGGTTTCGAAATCGCTACAGAGAACCTTTTGGAGCGGCATCTATCGCGCGATGCTGTCTCCCCAGGACTACACCGGCAAGTCTCCCCCTGCGCCGGTGCGAGTCTGCCGCCTGCTAACCAGTGCCCGGACAATGTAGGAGAGAACCCGCTGTGGGCGAGCGACGAGCCCTACTTTGACTCGTATTATTGTATCTGGGACAGCTTCAGGAGCACACACCCGTTGCTCACGTTGGTCGATCCGCGTGCGCAGGCGCGCATGGTTCGCGCGCTGATTGACGTGTATCGCCACGAGGGCAAGCTTCCCGACTGCCGCATGTCGCTTTGCAAGGGCTTCACCCAGGGCGGAAGCAACGCCGACAACGTCCTGGCCGATTCCTACCTCAAAGGGCTCGGGGACGGCATCGATTGGGAAACCGGCTACGAGGCCGTCGTGTCAGACGCCGAAGGTGAGTGCGTATTGGGAAAATGTCCATCATTTGCCGCATTGGACGTCGTTGCTCACGGGCTTCTGCAGATGAGCCTCCCATTTGGACAGTGGAAGGAAGGGGCGGGCTGCATAGTTGGAAAACGCTGGGCTACATTCCTACCGACGACTTTGATCCGTACGGTGTCGGCATTTTTACGCGGTCCATTTCCCGGACCGTCGAGTACTCGTACAATGATTTCTGCATCGCGGAAATGGCCAGAGACATGAACAAGACGGCTGACGCGGAGAAGTATCTGGAGCGTTCATCCAATTGGAGAAACATGTTTGACCCTACCTCTCGCTCGAGACTCAACACGACGGGAAGCCAGGATCCGGCTGGCCTCGTGGACAGCGGGTTCCAGGGATTCCTGCAGCCCAGGTATCTAAACGGCAGCTTTGGCCATCAGGACCCGGCCATTTGCACGGCTCTCTTCAACTTCACCTCTTGTTATCTGAACCCAGGCGGACACGAGACGTACGAGGGCGGGTCGTGGCTTTACACGTTCCAAGTTCCCCACGACCAGGCGACCCTCATCACGATGCTCGGTGGCACGGGCGAGTTTGTCCGCCGGCTGGAGTTTTTGCACAACACCCCGGGCCTGTTTTACATTGGGGACGAACAGTCCTATCTCCTCCTGTACCTGTTTCACTATGTCGGGAAGCCGGGCCTGTCCTCGCAATACGCACGCAGGTATATACCCAGTGCCTTTAATGATTCCCTGGCCGGCATCCCTGGGAACGACGACTCGGGCGCCATGGGCAGCTTCACCGCATTGTCCATGATGGGTCTCTACCCGATGAGCGGCCAGGACGTGTACCTCATTATCCCTCCGTTCTTCCCACAAGTCACCATTCACCACCCCGGGACGGGCAAGTCGGCAACCATCAGGAACATCAACTTTGATCAAGGGCACAAGAATATATATATACAGAGCGCAAGGCTGAATGGCAGGCCGTATACCAAGTCGTGGATCACTCATGACTTTTTCAGCGGCGGCGGCGTGCTGGAGCTGACCCTGGGGCCGTCACAGAGTCATTGGGGGTCGGGGGAAAATGACATTCCACCAAGTGCATCTACGCACTTCTGGAAGTTAGGAGAATGATGGGGCCATGTAGCCGCACAAGCGGCACTTGTAATCGAGGTCTGACTCAATGTATACACATGCTTCATGGACGTGAGCACACTACATACATGACCTGGCGCTGTTTTGAATGTTTCGTCATGTTTCCGGGCATGCGCCTCCAATTGCTGTTACACGGGATGCTTCAAAGGAATATTCAATGCCTGTCGCCGGTGACAACCTGGCCGTACTGGCCTCCCCCTAGACTCAAAAACGCCGCCGGTGATGCCGCCATTCTCAAATAGGTGGTCGACGTCTTCCAATTCGAGGCCGCTGGTTTCGGGGAAAAAGAAGTACACCATGGGTATCTAGCGGCAATGGTCAGCTTGTTTGCCTTTTTTTTTTCCCTAGCCTTCAATGGTTTAAAATTAGACAATACGCACCCAGGATGCACACAAGCATGCAAAGATGATGAATGTCCGCCAGTCGATATTACTAATAGCAATAGGTGTGATCTGGACTACAATGACTGCGGAAAAGTCAACATGCCAGTACTTCGAGTGAGGGAGGCTACGGGGACTACTTACAAACGCACATCCAATTGACGAAGCCGGCAAAGGCCTGGCC